CACCACCACCACTATAAGTTGGAGAGAGGACGGAGGTGGCGGAGGGGGAGGAGGAGGAGGAGGAGGAGGAGGAGGAGGAGGAAGAGGAGGAGGACCCCCATCCCCCTCCAACTTCTGGTGGTCGTGGTGGAAACGGCCCCCTCAAGGTGGGAAGGCTGCTTCGAAGAAGGCTGCTTCTCAGAAGGCGCGGGCCTGGTCTGTGGACGTGAGGCCCGCACCTTCTAAGCTTGGGAGCTGTCCCCTGCTATGGAGCCTCTTCCCCCTCCCCCCCGTACCCCCCTGGCGCGCGCCTCTGGGGGAGAGAGAGGGGGCAGGCCCTCGCAGAAGGCGGCGGGGCTGCTCAGAAGCTGATTCTCCGAGGATCCCGGTGTGCGCTCGCAGGAGGCGCAGGAAGCCTTTCGGGGAGGGCGGGGGAGCAGGAGGGCCAGGGGAAGTCGGAGAAGGGGAAAGGAGGTGATGATGATGATGATGATGATGATGATGATGATGATGATGATGATGATGCTGATGCTGATGCTGATGCTGATGCTGATGCTGATGATGATGCTGATGCTGATGCTGATGCTGATGATGATGATGATGATGATGATGATGATGATGATGATGATGATGATGATGATGATGATGATGATGCTGCTGATTCTGATGCTGATGCTGATGCTGATGCTGATGCTGCTGCTGATGCTGCTGCTGATGCTGCTGATGATGATGATGATGATGATGATGATGATGATGACCATCGTCATCATGGATGAGGAAGTGTGGATGGTCCAGCTCAGATCCAAGACATCCGCGCCGTCCGTCAAAAGTTGATGCTTACGCTTACGCCTTGTTCTCTTGATTTATTCACTGCCCCTGCAGGGGTGAGGCGGTCAGGAAGGGAAGAAGGGGCGCGAGAGGCAACAAAAACGAGGGGGGGCCAATCGGATGCGATGCGGGGTTGCCCTTTCGCGCCCTGTCGGGTGGGCGCCACGCCCACCAGACGCCAACGACGCAGGACCCTGCCTCTGGGGAGGGGGATGGAGCAAGCAAAGAGGGAGAGCGAGAAGGGTATCCCGCCTCGAGTCTTCGCCGAATGACGACCGCGCGACGCGACCGCCAGGCCCCAAGAAGAGGCCCGCAACTCCCTGGGTAGCCTCCCTCGCGCCCTCGGGCTAGGATCGCTCGAAGCGTTCTTAAGTGTCCCAGCAAAGCACCTACTAGCAGTAAAGGTGAAGAGGCGGATCGAGAAGCAGGAGATCGACTAGTGATACCGTGCACTCTCAGGTACTTCTGGGACTGATGCGGCGGCCGCGACAGGGGTGAGAGTACGGCCATGTGCCGTTGATGGTGACAAAGGGCCAGGGACCGTGGTCGTCCAGACCCAAGATGTAGCCGGCACTCGGGCGAGAGCGCGATGCCTGCATGAGCTGTGGTGGAACTTTCAGCGCTGCAGCTGCCAGACCCTCTCCGGACCACGCTGTCTTGGGCTGCCCGCTCCCCCGCGAAAGTCTCTTGTGGTTCATTCTCACCTGTATCAGAATCCGCTAGCGAAACGCTTTTGGGGAATAATGTTTGGATACCGTTCTGCTTATCCCTGGCGATAACAGGCATGACCAGGGGGCGAAGGGGAGAGGGGAGAGGGCCGGTCACGTCACGATTCGCGCTGGCGGCATCGGCAAGTGCGCAGGAGTGGCCAAGTCCCACGGCTCAGTGGCGGGGCCGGTCCCATGTGTGCTCGTTTTCTCCTAGGCCTGGCTCGTGGCTGCTCTCTCCCTCGACCTGCACCTTCCGCACCGTCCGCGCGGCAGGTGCCGTGCTGCCGCGGCCGCTGCCGCGGCGGCACATGATTTGTTTCTTCCGTGTCCAGCGATATCCTGGGTTATCAGGCTCGCCACCCCCCCCATCCCCCCCAGATATCAAGGGAGGAAAAACCACCCGGACCGGACAGCTGGCGTTTACTAAACGGCCCTGGGCGTTTACTAAATAGTCTTGCCCTGTTCGATTCCTTCTTTGAGCGCGTTTACTGAGCGACTTCGCGTGTCGGGGTGGTTATTGTGTTTTTTGACCTCTACAGATAACCCGACCACGTCGGTGGCGCAGGTCCGAAGGGGGTGAGCAGATTTGGTGCGTGCGGGTATACGTGGGGCTGCCCAAAGCGAAAAGGTGAGGTTATCGGCCCTCCACCCCCTTTGCCCCCGGGCAACCCGGCTCGTCGCCGAAAATATTACCGCTTTCAGGAGGTTCGGAAGGCCTCGGGCCTCCTGAGAAGTTGTCTGAACCTTCCCCGAAGACACCGAACTCTGGCCAGAATTGGCGTCTCCCCAACATACTGATGCTATGTGTGCGTCGCCCCCCTCAGGGCGACCCGAGCACCGAGAAATCTTAAGTATACGCTCGGTGGCTGGCTGGCCCTTTCTGGCCATACCGCTCGGGAAACGATATACTACAATATGCTGATGCTAGATGTTCGGGTGGGACACGCGCCTTCGAGGAAAGCATGCATTACTAGTATGCCCTTGTGCGTCCCACGGCAGGCGCGAGGGCCTTCCCCCCCGGCACCCCGAGCCGTCGCCGAAGAATTGCAAAACAGCAAGTTGCAAGGAGGAGGAAGAGGCGGAGGCGGAGGAGGACGAGGACGAGGAGGAGGAGGAGGAGAAGGAGGAGGAGGAGGAGGAGGAGGAGGGGGGGGAGGCGATCTCTGCCGCGAAGGCCCCTGCCTCGGGGCGGCCGCCCTCCTCGCCCCTCATCCCCCCCTCCCTGCCCAGGGGCGCCGAGCTCTCTGCCCCCCCTGCCCCGAGGAGCAGCGGCGCAGCCCGCGCCGGCGGCGGAGGGCCAGGCCCCCGCGGGCGCCGCGGCGGCAGGATGGGAGGGGGCGGCCGCTCGCCTCGGCCCCGCGCCGTGGGGGGGCCACACGTTCGCTCGCGCCGCTGACTTGATATGTGCATATATATATGTGTATGTATATATATACATATATATATATATATATTTAGATATGTCTATGTATATATACATATATATAGACACACACATATATACATATGCATATACATATATATGTATGTATGTATGTGTGTGTGCAGGATGAGGCCTTCCAGATGGGGCCCGGAGAAGAGGGGGGATCGGAGGATCGCGCCGCGTCGATGCTGCTCGATATGCATCGCCGACGTCGCCGACGCATCGCCGATGCATCGCCGATGCGTCGGCGGTGCATTGGCGATGCGGCGCGATCTTTCGACCCCATCTACCTGGACCCCTTCAGGAGGCCTCTCAGAGGGGGGCACGGTTAGCCTGCGCCCGCTGGCTTGAAACGCGTGTGCAGGGCAACCGTTCTGCTCCATGGGGGCGTCGCGAGGGCACAAGGGCAGCGGCGGCCCCGCGCCCCGCGCTTCGGGGAGATCGGGGCGCAGAGCAAGTGGATGAGGAGCATGTCAGGGCGCTTGTGCGGCCACTTCCCCAGGACTCAGCCACACGCAGAGGGACGTGGGGGAGGGGGGAGGGCTTCGTAGAAGCAGCTGTGCTTCTTAGAAGGCGCGTGGCTTATCTGTAGATGTAGGGCTGGCGCCTTTTAAGGAGCAGTCTCCTTCTAAGGAGCCTTCCCTCTCCCCCTGCCCCCCTTGTGCGCGCCGCCAATCGCCGCCGCCGCCCTGCGCGCTCCGCCTGTCAAGCATTGGCGAGGCGTCCTGGCTTGCCTGGAGCTTTGCTCTGAGGGCCCTCTGTGTCCGGCACGAGGTTCTCCCAGAACGCGTGTGGCCGAGATCGTCTGGCATCGTGTTCTGAGAGCACCACGTCTGCTGTTCTTAGAACATCCCTCTGTTCCGTGAGCATGTCGTGGTGGACCTACAGGACTGCCGGGACGGCCAGTCCCTTTTCAGATTTTCTCGACACAGCGGGGGCCAGCCTGCGGCACATCATGCCCAGAGCGCCTCGCGTCGTGACAACATCGCGACGGGAGTGCAGTAGCAAATCACGTGAACCGCGTTTGTGTTCTTGGTTCCGTGTTTTAGGCTGCGCTAGCGTGCGCTAGCGGCTGGCAGTCCATGAGAAAGCGCCGTTTTAGCGTCGCGTTAGCGTCGATGCGCCGATTATCGTCGGCCAGCGTCGATTTGCAAGAGCCAGCAAGATGGCATCGGAGGCTCCCAGAAGTTGCCAAAGAAACAGGAGGTCGTTGGCCAGTTTCGGCCCCCGGGGGGCCCTACGGGGCCCCAGAAGCGCCAAAAAACAGCACAGGGTGAAGGGCCCGTCCCAGGGAATAGGTCGAGACTTCGGGGGTCCACGTTGTGAGAAAGGCAGGACGTCCCGAGTCCGGGCCTCGATCCGATCGACTCGATGCGGTGTCGATCTCAGCCCGCCTTGTGCTCTCGGGGCTCTCTTTGAGCCCTCCCGGGGGCCAGCTCGGTGCCCAGGGTGTCCATCTTGACCCCGTCTGGGTGTGGTGTCGGTGCCGACCGTTCGCCTTGCCCGCGGTCCGCTGAGTAGGTTCGATGTCGTCGTCTGGTGCTCCGATGCGGTCTGGTGCTTCCGCGGCGCTGCTGGTCGTCTTGGCGCGGCCGATCCGATCCAAGTTCGGTTTCGCGCCGGCGCGGCCCGACGGGGCACGCTCCGGTCTAGTCCGGCTCGGCTAGTACTACCGGCCCGGTGCCGAGAAGCCGCTGGGTGCCGAGGAGCTCATCGCAGTCCCGCAGAGGCAGGAGGGTCCACGACAGCAGAGATCGCTCGCTTGCCGATCTTGGGGACCTCCGAGGCGAGGCTCCCTGGTCACTTGGGGCCGCCGTTGACATTACCAGCGCTCCGGCGTGAGCGAAACGTATGCCCCCCGGCTGTCGTCCCACTCCTCCGTCGCCACGTTCTTCCTCTGCGAGGTAGGCGCCTCGAGCTCTGGACCGCGTCCCCGAGCCTCGATGAAGCGGTCCAGAGGGGCATTTGTATGAGAGCTCGCCTCGGTGCCCGAGGTGAGCTGTCATGCAGGGTCGTGATGCCTTGTCCCGGAGGGGCCTTGAGAGGCCGAGAGTTCCGAAATGCCGGCCGTCTACAGTTCTTGCAGTTGGGGGTTCTTAGTTTCTTTTCTAAGGAATTGGGCCTGCCCGTCGGTCTGGCGGCTGTGTGGCTGCCGTCGCCGCCATGTCCCGCCCGTCTTCTGGGCCTGCCCATCGGTCTGGCGGCTATGCGGTTACCGTCGCCGTCCCGTCGTTCTGGGCCTGCCCGTCGGTCTGGCGGCTATGTGGTCGCCGTCGCCGCCCCGTCGCTATCTGGGCCTGGTTTACTTTGCATTGCTTTGCGTGACTGTGCATTGCATGTGCATTCCATTGATTTGCAGCTTTCCTTGCGTTACTTTGCGCTGGATTGCATTGTTTTGCATTGGTCTGCCTTGCTTCGCTTTGCGTTGCATTGCTTGACATTGCTTTGCGCTGTTTCTCATTGCGTTGCGTTGCGTTGCATTGCACCGCGTAGATTGCTTCTCGTATACTGCACCACGCATCTGACCATTTTCTAACGCATCACACAGGTTTCACCCCGTACATTGCACCACATATACTGCACCGCGTAGCTCAAACCACACATGTTGCACCACACCACATAGTTTACACCACCCATACGGCACCGCATATTCTGCATCACATAAATTGCATGGCATCGATTGCACCATTGACATTGCACGACGTATATTGCACCACTTAGCTTGCGCCGCAGACACTGCACCACATACACTGGGCCACAGATATTGCACCACACAACTTGCGCAACATGTTTTGCAGCGCGTAGTATGCACCACACAGCTTGCACGACGTAGCTCACAGCACAACTGTTGCACCACATAGTTTGCACCACATACGTTGTACCACCTGCATTGCACCATATCATTAGCACCACACAGTTTGCACCACATGAGTTGCACCACCTATATTGCATCGCATACCTTTTTAACTTAATATTGCACAGCAGAGGTCGCACCGAGCTCTATATTATATCTAAGTTGACACATGCATTGCAGAAGCTGTAGTGTACCGCGTACCATACTGAAGCATTTAGCTTCATATCAACGCTGGCTAACATCTGCTCACATAGCTATATAGACACCTATGCGTGTATGCCCATATGTGCAGAATTGCATGTGTATGTGTATGCGACGCCTGGGTCTGAGGGTATGTCAAGATGTCTCACCGCTTGTACTTATGTGCTGTAGATGTTCGAGCCGTCCCCAAAAGATTGGCACCCAGATCGTTCCTGGGGTGTCTGGCGACCCATTCGATGAAATCTCAGCCGCGGCGACGAGGAGCCTCCCGGAGGCAACGAGCAGGGAAGGACGCCCAGAGCACGAGACATAGGGAGTATGGATTTTTTGCATGTGTTGCGCATCGTCAGCGACGGCGACGACTCCCGAAGTGTTCCGCCCCAGGGCCCCCTGGGGCGTGCCGGTCCCCCCCCCCCCATAGGGCGAGTCGCGGGCTGGAGCGGAGCATCGGAACGGAGCCTGGCGACGTCCGACGTCGTCGGACTCCTTTCTAGTCCATTCCACTCTAGTCCGCTCCATTCCGCTCCTTTTCTGCTCCTCCTCGCTCAATCGACGCCGATGTCGGACGTCGACGACGACCAGAGGAGGAGAACCGGGCGGAAGTATGGATATGCACGGGCCCTGACCAGGATCGGCGCATGCGCTTAGCGTTCTTTGCTCGAGAGAAGAACGAGGCGCCCAGCTCATTTCGGCGCCTCCCATCTGCGAAGGAGGCGAGGACCCCCCCGAGGCGGTCGGAGATCTTGCAGAATGTGCTCGTTGGTGGTTGGCTCGCTCCGCAGAGGTCTTCCTTTGCACTTTCGGAGGGGCCATCCTCCCCTGGTTCGTCCCCGCCCCACCGCGGAACGAGCACCCCTCGTCGCCACGGCTGGACGTAGCTCCAACAGCGGGGCAGGATGGATCCCGAGAAGCCCTTCTCCCTCGAGCTGCACCTTCCTTCCGCACCTTCCGCGCGGAAGGTGCCGCCGCGATGCGGCCGCGGCAGCGCGGCACCTGTCGCGCGGAAGGTGCTGAAGGTGCAGGTCGAGGCAGAAAGCAGCCGCCGCCGAGACAGTCCTAGAAGATCACGCTTCACCAGAGTCGGTTTTTGATTATTCGCGATAATGGTCGGGGCTGGCCCCGCCCCTTGCCCACCCCGTTCCACCCCTGTTCCTGTGCCCTCCCGGAGGGCGCCAGCGCGAATCGTGACGTGACCAGCACCCTCCCCCCCCTCCCCTCCCCTCCCCTTGGTCACGCCCGTTCCCGCCAGAGATAGAAAAGACGGTCTCCTAACATTATTCCCTGATGGCGTTTCGCTATAGCGGGTTCGTTGCATCTTCGGGTACCTTGCCCGTCCCGTCGCGCCGCGGTTCACGTCGAATCCGTGCCGAACGCGTCGGATCCGTGTCGAAACCGTGTCGAATCCGTGCCGAATTCGCGTCGAATCCGTGTCGAACCGACGTCGGAGTAAAAGATCAGACTGCCACCTGCAGGACAAGGAAGGTCCCCCGAAGATGCAAAGTAACAAAAGGGCCACACGGGAGTCCCTCGGGGGGCGGGGAGCCCGAGGTTGCCGAGGCGGTCCAGCAGCTGTTTCGCTGACGGTTCTCTCACAATTCGTGCAGGGCTCTTGCTCTCGCCTCAGTGCCGCCGGCTGCATCCCGGGTCTGGACGACCACGATCTTGGGTAACAAAAAGCACCCTCGACGGCATCTCGCCGTGCTCTTACCTCTGTCCCGGCCGCAAGCGTCTCAGGAACATCTCAGAATGCACTTTTTCACTCGCCGACCTCCTACAGTGGAAACCCATGCCAAGAAACACCCGGCTGGCCTCCAGGGTGCCCTGGGTTTCTTGTGTTCCGATGGGTTTGCGATGGAGACCGTGACGCTCCCACACCAAAAGATCAATGGACGTCCTGGGGTCTCATGGCTGGGTTTCCCGTGGAAAGTTTGTTGCGGTCGAGCTCATGCTGCACTTCTCTCGACCCGCCTCTCCACCTCTGCTGCTATGTCCGGGTGCTCTGCTGGGGTATAGTGCTGCGTCCAACGATCCCCACCTCGGGGGCGCGAGGCGGGCCACCCGGGGCTACCGACATCTTGGGTCACGCCCCGACGGTGCAGGCTGAGGGCTCCCACACTCTAGGCCTCCCAGATGGGGTCCGAGTAGATGGGGTCGGAGGGTCGCGTCACATCGCCGATGCATCGCCGATGCGGCTCGATGTGGAACTCGATTCGCTTCACGTCGACTTCGCAGATGCCGCGCCGACGTCAATGATTCATCGCCGGTGCATCGCCGACACGTCGCCGATACATCGTCGATGTATCGGCGACGCGGAGCGATGCTCCGACCCCGTCAACAGTCGGGGCGCTGAAGAAGGAGCCCTTTTCGTTTGGGAGGGGCCCCCTGTTCCTTAGAGGTGTTACTGTCTGCCTTAGGGTCATCTTTGGTTCTCGATCGGGAATGGAAGCTAAACTCGAGGGACAGGGGGGCCTCGTTCCTTGTTTCTCGCTCCTTCGGTCAACGCCCCTGCTGTACTCCGACCCCGTCCAGGATCGGGGGAGCGTAAGACCCGGGTTTGCCAGGACTCGGGTTCGCCATCGTTTTTTGACGACCGCGCCTCGGATTTTGACGAGGAGGAGTTTCGTGGGATGTCTGCAGCGGGAGGCCTCGTCAAAATGCAGGCTCGGCCTCGTCATTTTTTTGACGACCTCGTCGGGGATTTCCGAGTCCCCTGTACCCAGGTCTTACGTCCCCTTGCCCCCGGCGCGCGGCCGCGAGGCGCGCGGCGGCGAGGGCGCGGCGGAGGGCGGGGCGGCGGCCGCCGAGGGCGGCGGCGGGGCGGAGGGCGGAGGCCGGCCGCGGGGCCCCCGTCCTGCCTTCCGCGCCTCCTCCCCCCCCCTCCCTTCCCCCCTCCCTTCCTTCCTTCCCTCCCTCCTTCCTTCCCTCCCCCCCTCCCTCCCTTCCTTCCCCCCTCCTCCCCTCCGCCTCCTCCTCCCTTCCCCCCTCCGCCCTCCCTCCCCATGCCTCCCTCCCTCCGCCACATCCTCCTCCTCCTCCTCCTCGCCCTCCTCCTCTATCTCAGGAGGGGCACACAGACACGATGAATCGTCGATGCCCCAGACAATAGGGGAAACTATGGGAAGAGGGGGGAAGACAAGAGCCCAGAAAATAGATGGGAAAATATTGGGAATCCGGTCATTTGTGTGTATTTATTTGTGTGTCCCAGGGCCCCTTCGCTTTCTTTCTCCTCCCTCCTCATCATGTCATGGTCAAGTTCGACGTGTCGGTTCTCCCAGGACTTTCTCTACAAGTCTCAGTTCGAAGCCTGTCGGATTCTGAGTCGGTTACTGTGGGGGCGTCTTGCAGCGTGCAGGCTCCGGCGCTCGATGGAGTGATGGCCCCTGCCCACCGCTGGAGCGTTCGTTCGGCACTGGCTTGGTGCAGCCACGAAATGGGTCCAAACTATTGTAGCGGCGATGTATGCTGTCAGACTTCTTCGGGGACGCCTCCATCTGTGAGGATGTCTCAGGCGAGAGCCAAGCTCTTGAAGGTATGTCAACTTCGGGAGCTCATTGAAGTTGTTGTTGAATATCCTAGGCGAAACGCCGCCCCACACGATGTTAGATATCTTGTGCCACGGAGAGGACTCGTGTGACCACCTTTGCCTTGGGACTCCAGATTTGGGATTTGGAAGATGGGGGACTTTGCGTCGTGGTAAGGCGCGTTTAAGGACACGTGTGACCACCTTTTCCTTGCACCTCCGAATTTAGTATTCGGAAGTCGGGAGAGGTTGCAATGTGGGAAGGGGCGTTTGAAGACACGTGTGAGAACACCTTTTCCTGGGGCCTCCGAATCTGGGATTCGGAGGTGGCGGCCGTTTGCGTCGTGGAAAGGGTGGTTTGCATCGTCGTTTGTCGGCAGGCGAGACGCTGCCCCCCCCACACCATGTTGGATATCCGACGCACGATCTCCAACATATAGTTGTTTTCCTGAGGCTGTCTCAGGCGAGAGCTTCATTTCTGAGAAGCAGCGCTCCAACAACTCCTCCAACATCCCCTTGTGTGACGATGTCTCAGGCGAGACGCCTCTGCCGGGACCATGTTGGATACCCAACGCCCGATCTCAACAGGATTATTTTCTGAGGATGATTTGGCGAAACCGCACTTTGCTCGCAGCATCCCAATTTTGTGAGGATGCCTCTGTCGCAGCTGCTCCTCCTCACCCTGCTCGTCGCCCTTCCGGTCTGGGGCCAAATGCCCGACGAACAAAGAGAACCCTGGGCCTGAGCATTTGCCCGGACAACGCCGCAGATCGCTCAACCACCTCACCCCTCGACCTTCGATCCTCGAGGGTCGAGGGCAAAACCTAGCAGAAGAAGGTGGAGGAGGAGGTGGAGGAGGAGAGGGAGGAGTAGGAGGAGGAGGAGAAGGAGGAAGAGAAGGAGGAGGAGGAGGAGGTGCAGGAGGAGGAGGTGGAGGAGGAGGAGGAGGAGGAGGAGGAGGAGGAGGAGGACCCCTCCCGACCCCGACCGTCCCTGACCTGCTTTTCCCTTTGCCCTTCGGCAGCGGCGCCTCCGGCGGCCCTCCTCGCTTCCCTCTTGGCGTCGGCACTGCCAGGGGCCTTTCTGGTGACGGGCTGGTAGAGGCGAGGGTGCGCCTGGCTGTTGCGCCACGAAAGAGCTTACGTAGTGGGCCCTGGACGCGGCAGAACTGTTTTTCCGATTCGCTTCGGGTGATTTGGCTCGTGAGTCGGAGAGGGAAGGAAGACCCACCGAAGCGGACACCAGAAACGGCGCCGGAATCGGAGCCGCCATTGGAATTGGAACAATGCAGGTGCGATGGAACCGGAAACAAACACGGCCGCGGAACCGGAACAAGAACATCAAGCGGAAGTATAATACGGGAAACAACATATGGCCTTTGTCTTTTCCAGGGACAATTGAGAGCTGTGGGCGAGAAACTTATCCGTATCCGCGGCCTCGCTGGCTGGGCCCCTAAGCCACGACCTCGTGGATAGGGGGCGCTTTTTGTTCGCGCATGCTCCGCGCGGAGCCTACCAGCCCAACTCCAATTCCAAGGGATCTCGACCCGATGGAGTGCCTTGGGCTTTCGCTCAGTCATCCTCGGTTGGAGGATTGGAAAAGGGAGGGCCCCGCCTCCTTTCTGCACCGGCAGGCCCTGGCGGCTCCGAGGCGCCCGCCGAGCCGGAGCAGGAGAAGCCTCTGGCGCGGGTGGTGCGCCTGTGGACCGCCCACGCCGCTGCCATCGAGGAGCTGAAGGCGGCGGACAGGCCCGTGTGGGTGCGCGGATCTGGTATATCGGGGGTGGACAGAACCCCCAACAGTGACACGTCGATTAGTGAATTGTCCGTTTTCGGTTCTCGAGAGGGCGCCGCGGCCGTTATTTTCCAGGCTTGGGCCCGCCAGGTTTGGGCCTCAGGTCGTTTTCACTAAACCACGTGTTACTAAAGGGAGGTCTGTCCATCCCCGAGTATAGCCAGGGCCCCGGGCGAGGGGAGCAATAGCCGTTGTCCTGTCAGGCAAGGGCGGCTAATGATGAGGTTCGTGGAGGCCCGTCCGCGAAAAGCAGATTCGTAGTTGGTGGCCTCGCTGCCGGGCCTTTGGGCCGCGACCCCGCTAATTCGAGGCGAGGCGTTTTTTCGTGCATGCCCCGCGCGGAAGGTGTCCGTGCGACTGCGTATCCGCGGGATCGCGTCCAGGAATCCAGACCGCGAGGGCGCGGACACTGATATATTCGCGGCTCGTGAGGGGTCGGAGAAGAGTAATGACATTGCGATGTTGATCGAAGAGATCCGCGCGGGTTTCTGAGAGTTCTTGTTTACGTCATGACTCTTTCTTCGAGGAGGAGGAGGAGCAACAGAAGAGGAACATGCACCACTACAACACTACCTTTTCCTCGTCGCCACGGCTGTATTCGCCTCGTAGTTCTGCTCAGAACTCACCCTTGGAAAGGTCGGGGCAGCAGCTGTATCGGCAGCTTTGCAACCCCCCAGATTAACGTCAGATCGTATAGGAGTACAAAGAGGGCATGTCGCGACTGAAGAGTGAGGGCCTTCGAGGCCCCTTGACGCTTTCGAGAAGAAATGCTCCAGACGTTGTTCGGCCACCTGCCTCCCGCTGCTTTCTTCTTCGCTCCCTTCTGTTCTCCCCGTCTCTCGACCTTGTCTACGCTGCGTTCCCACACATCCTCCTTCCATTCTTCCTCATCCTTCTCCTCTTCCTCCGTCTCCTCCTCCTCCTCCTCCTCCTAGCCCACAGCCCCGAGCAGATTGTCAGGGGCTGCTGGTCGCTCATTCAGTCCTGGTGCTTCTACTCAAGAAATCGGGGGGGATTGGGCATTGGTCCTCGTCCCCCTCGTTGCTCTCTCGCCTCATCGTCCTCGTCCGCATCCTCTCTCCTCGTCTTCCTTATTGTCCTCCGCCTCCTCCTCCTCCTTTTCCTCCTCCTCCTCCTCTTCCCTTTTCCTCCTCCTCCTCCTCCTCCCTTCTCCTCCTCCGTCGCTTGCTCTCCGCATCTGCCCCCCTTGGGAGAGGAGAGGGAGGGTGGGGAAGAGTATGATGCGGAGGGAAGCGTTTTTCAATGCTGCCTCCTTCTTCTCGGCGGCTTCCCGATGTCGGCCCCGTTTCCAAAGCAGTTGGAGCCTCACATGGGGCAGCCCTGCTTCTGTTGGCCTCTAGTGGGCCGCGTTATGGCTCAGAGAGACCACGTCGGAAAAGTCGGAGGAGGATCGAGGACGAGGGATTGGGGCGTCTGGGCGCCCCTGGCCCCCCCCCCCGTTCCTTGAGAAGCCGCCCCCGCCCGCTCCCTCGCCCGAGCGCGGCCGTGTTTGAGGTGTGTGGGTGCGGCGGCACAGGGGATCTTGGCTGCACACACGTAGAGGAGGAGGAGAGCAAAGGCGAGCAGGGAGTGGCCGAGGACGGGACGGAGGGTGGAAGGTGAGGAGGGACGAGGGAGGGGTGCTGAGGAGAGGAGGGGGAGGAGTGGGACCTGGGGAGGAGTGTCGGGGAGGCGTGTCGGGACGGCGGAGGAGGAGGAGGAGGAGGAGGAGGAGGAGGAGGAGGAGGATTAGGAGGAGGAGGAGGAGGAGGAGGAGGAGGAGGAGGAGGAGGCCCGAAGGCTCACCGTCGCCTCCGCCTACCGCTCCTGGGCAAAGACGGCCGAGCTGGGCCTGAAGGAGGGCGAGGCGGTGCCGTCTTTCACGGAGGCCCGGGGGCCTCAGAGCGCCCGCGTTGGCCGCCGGGCCCGCGGGGATCGCGAAGGGCAGTTTGCTTTTCCCGTGAGCAGCTTGTCTGCATGAACGTATACATGTGCATCTACATATAGAGATGCACATAATCCACATCCACATATGCATATATGCACGGCCGTGCAGGTGCGCACACGAATAGATACACACATGTGTATGTCTGTGCGTGATGTTTCTGCTGCCCGGTGAGGGAGCCCAGGCCCCGAGATCGGGGGCCCCATCGTGGCCCCCCATCTTGCCCCCCCCCCCCCCCACGTGGCCCCCCCATCGTGACCCCCCATCCGCGTGACTGTGGGCAGCCGCTCGGGGTCTTCCGCCGCAGGGGTGCGGTGTTCCTGCTCTGGGAGTTTCCGGTCGATCTCCCGGGGCCCTCATCGCCAGGCCTCGGGTGTCCAGAACAGCAGCTCGGAGCGAGAGGCCCGTCCAGAGGGAAAGGGTCGATGCCTCCAGGGGGGGGGGGCCGCGCTGCAAGGGGATCGTGACGTCGGAGTCCCGGGGTCGAGGGGTGCATGCACAGAAAGCTGTGGCGGTGGGATTTCCCGAGTGGTGGACATCATCTTTTAGGCCCCAGCCCGCCCCAAGGGGCCATGAGCAGCCTCGGGTGGGGCGAGATAGGGCTCGGGCCGCATGCCACTGGCAGGTCGTGGCGTCGGGCGTCGGGGGGCGGGGCAGGGCGTTCGCCTGTTTGGCCCCGTGTGCCGTCCCGCGGCCGGCTGGCTGCCTGGTTCTGGCAGGGCTGTGCCAAGAAGGCGGGCCGCCCCAGGAGCGGAGGCGTTACGGTCGGGAGTTGTTTGCTCAGCGTGTGGCTCCGCCGGTTCTGGACCTCCAGGCCTCGACGTGACACGCTCACCGCGTCCTGGCCCCTGGGCTTCAACCTCCCGAGCCGTTCAGAGCCTCGTGCCCCGCGGAGCGGAGCGACACGCCATCCGCTTGAAATACACAAGTGTCGCCGAGGACGCCGCGACATGCTGAGCAACAGTTCCCGACCATGGACCGGCCGCGAAGGATGTTGCCGAAGTAGGTCACGGTGGGTCAGGCTGGAGCAGTGCGCGCATTTCGTCGAAAGTCTCGTGTTCGTGAGACTTTCGAAGTCGCCGAGGCATCATGAGCTGCGCGCCACCAGGTCGCGATCACGGGGGGCTGTGTTGCTGCGCTGGCAGTGTGGCATGTATAGTTGCGACCAGAGGGACCCATTGTTGGTCAGACTCGTGAGCCTGTGTGAGCCGGCATCGCATGTCGGATTTCCGATTGCGGCCTTTTCGCGTGCGGAATGGGCCACTTAGGCCGATCCGACGAAACAACCGTAGTGCGGTCCGATAGGGATCCGCGCGCGTATCGATGCGGTGGTGCGGCGATGCGGCTTTGCTCGATCGATCTCGAGGCTGCGGCCATTTGGGATCCCTCTTCGGCGGCGAGCGAGGGGGGAAGTGAGAAGGAGATGGGTTTATCAGGTGGAGGGTCTTCGGGGAAGGCTTGGAAACTTCTCAGAAAACCGGGGGACTTCCGAGCCTTCTGAGAAGGCCCGCTCCTTCTCACTTCCCCCCCGCGGTCGCCGCCAACCTCTGGGTCCGTGCCTGTCCAGCAATCTAATCATTCCCCCTCTCTCTCAGCCTCCGCCATTTCCATCACCCACCTCCCCTGCCCTCCGCTCCCCTCTCCCTCCCTCTCCCTTCCCCCCTCTCTCTGTTCCCGCCATCCCCCGACCCGTCCCCCCCTCATCCGTCTCCCCCCTCCTCGCGCCCTCCTCCCGCCCCCTCTGCCGCCCTCCCTCCCTGTCCCCTCTCCCCATCCCCTCCCACCATCTCTCCTCCCGCCTCTCCTCCCGTCCCCGTCCGCTCCCCGCCTTCTCCCGCTCCCGTCCTCTGCGTCCCCATCCGCGAGGAGTTGGATGGCGCAGGGCTGTCAGTGCCCTCCTCTCTCTGTCTTCCTCCCCTTTTCCTGGTGAAGAGAGCGGGGCGGGGAACTGGGTGAGGGCAGCCGGACGGGGGGAGGGAGTGTACAGTGGAAGCCCATGCCAACAAACACCCTGCTTGCCACCAGGGTGCCCTGGCTTTCTTGGGGTTCGATGTTTTGTCGGGCGATGGAGTGCGTGACGCTCCCACACCAAAGACCAACAGAAGTTCTGGGGTCTCAGTGGTGTTTGTTTGGTGGAAGGTTTCTTGTGGTCCAGCTCCCACTGTAGGTGAGATGAGGGCGGATGTCAGAGGAGGAGATTGTGTACCGATGCCGCTGCTCAGCTGGAGGCCTCTCGTCGCCACGGCTGGGTGCTCCTCGACATTCTGGCCAGAGCGCACCCTGGGGGGCGTCCGGGCAGCTGCGGTATTGGCACCGTTTTGGTTCCCCCAGGGGTCCGTCCTACGGGACGTTTCTTGCGTCCGTCCGCCCTTCCGAGGGTGGGGGACAGATGGGAGGATGGAGGAGTGAGGGTGGGAGAGGGAGGGAGGGGGTGGGGGACAGATGGGAGGATGGAGGAGTGAGGGTGGGAGAAGGAGGGAGGGGAGAAGGGGGGACAGGATGAGGGAGATTCGTGAAAGGAGGGAAGCGGGGAAGAGGGGGGAGAGGGGTGGAGGCGGCATGGGGCGAGGTTGAGGGGCATTGAGAAGTGGATGTATGCGAAGTGCAGGTAGGGAGGGGAAGGTGAGGGTATAGGGGGTAGTGGAGGCAGGAAGGGCGGAAGGAATATAGATGGGAGAAGAGAATACTGCTTTAACGGAGACACGCGGGCGGGCCGTATTGTAAGCAGTGAGAAGCAAGGATTGAGGACCGAGGATATAGTGGAATTGGCAAAAGTGGGGAGGATGGACGGAGAGGGGAGGAGGGGGCATAGCGCGCAGATGGAGCAGGGCCGTTGGAAAGAGACGGCGAGGCGGTGAGGGAGCGGGGGGACAGCAGGTGGGCGGAGGGAGGAGTTGGACGGAAGGCCAGGAACAAGGGAGGTTGGTGGGAGGAGGGCGGACGCCAAGGTCTGGATCGAGCTGACCAACAGGAGAGCCGGGCCTGGCCCTGCCGCGGGCGGCCGCAGAAGCCGCCCCCACTGCGCGGCGCAGGGCCTCCCCTGGCGAGTGATGTGGTGGTTGGGTGCCGCCAGGGGGGAGGCCAGGCCCTATGCACCAATCCGACATTCAAAAACACATCAACTCTCATGGGCTCCAGATCTCGCCTAAGAGAGTCAAGCATCTGGACTTGGCCCTTGGCGTTTTCGTGGAGCCTCTAGATCATCGAGAGCAAGCGAATCCCTCACCCTAAGAACACGATGAAGACGTGGCCTCACGTCGGTCCCCGTCTTCGCACTAGAGATAATACATCTGGGCGGCTTGGCCTGATACATATGCAGCATAGTTATTCTGTCATGTTTTTGGCCAGCCTAACTCAGATCCCCCTCCAACGGGTTATGGGTTCTCTGTTTGTTTACCATATTTTTGTTCGTGGGACTTTCGTGCCCTATCTGGACCTGGGCTACTGCTTCAGCAAACGCGTGGAAGGAAGTCCCCTCGCGTGGCGTACAGTTCAGTCGGGCCGGGCCTGTCCCTCTACAGGGAAATGTTCAAGGGGACTACTTTTGGCTTATTTGCTTGACCATTTTGGAGCGTTTTTTTTGGGCTAATTTATATTTTTCGCCTAAAACTCCCCTGTAGGGAGACAGGAACGACCTAAGCGTACAGTTCCCTCGCCTCCCGAGCAGGGGTGCAGGGGGGCTGCTCGCAATTCTCCTGGGCTCCCGCGGGGCCCTCGTCCCGGGCCTCTCTGGGGGGCCGGGCAGGAGAGCGCCTCCGGGGTGCAGAAAGGCGCTGGCCCTCCAGGGATGCAGAACGGCACATCCTCCTCCGCTTCCCTCTTCCTTCTTCCTTCTTCCCTCTTCCCTCTTCCCTCTTCCTTATTCCTCCTCCTCCTCCTTATCCTCCTCCTCCTCCTCCTCCTCCTCCTCCTCCTCCTCCTCCTCCTCCTCCTCCTCTCGCTTGCGCCGTGCTTCCCCGGCCTCACCATGATGTCTTTTAATGTCGTCTTCTGTCTGCGTGTGTGCGTGAGTGCGTGCGTGCGTGCGTGCGTGGGTGTATGTGTGTATGTGCGTCCGCCGCTTCCTCCCTCCTCTTCTCTGCCTGATTCAAGCTTCGCTCGGCCCGCTTAGCTTCGACCGGAAGAGGTGCCCTCTCGACCCGCGGATCAAAAAGTGTATGTGCGTGTGTGTGTGTGGGTGTGAGTGCGCGTGCGTGCGTGCGTGCGTGCGTGCGTGCGTGCGTGCGTGTGTGTGTGTGTGTGTCTGTGTTTGTGCGTGTGCGTGTTTATGTGTGGGAGGGGGGGGGGGGCGGCCTCCGCGTTTGGGCACCGGCTGTGGAAGTATGCAGTCCGCTCCCGTCTTCTCTTCCCCGCACGAGGCACGCAAAACTGCATAGCCAGAATCTTCCAGCGGTCCTCCCGGCTGTCTCGCATCGGCGCTGGACCTGCCCTCCCCGGCGCGCGGAGCGCGCCAGTGGCGGCACCTGGGCCGCCAAGGGAGCCCTTCGCCGATCCAGGAGGTCCGCGCGGACCTCTGGCAGTGCAGTCGTATGCCGTTGTTGGTTCTTCTGTTAGGGCGGGCCTGTCCCCCTACAGGGGGATCTTGGACGATAAATATCAAATATTTTGAAAATGGCCCCAAACTGGTCAAACAGTGCTCAGCAAATCGTGCCCAGATATTTCTCGACTATTTTTGAATATCCCCCCTTGCAGAGGGACAGGCCCGACTTAACTCATTTTGGGCCGCGAGGCCGAAGCAAAGTCGGCTCCGCGTGCCCCCCCCCGCTTCGATTTTTGTGTTCCCCGCGTCCCTCTCCTGCTCTTTTGCCATGGCTTGCGGCAGAGTCGTTCGGCTGCGAGGGGCGACCGCTCGTCCCGCCCACCCGCCCCAGGTTGCGCCGTCACATTCGGAGGTTGATTGACCTCCTACGTCGAGTAGCGAGTTTTCGGTTCGCGGGAGGGCGTTGCGGCCGTCATTTTGCGGGTCCAGGTCCGTCGGTTTTGGTCCTGGGCCGTTTTCACGAAATGGAGGTTTATTCAAGGGAGGTTTGTCCACCGCCGACATATATCGCTGTCGCTGGTGCTGCGTGCCCCGCAATGTCCATATGCGTAAAGGACTTAAAGACAAGAAGAAAAAAGACACAGACACAATGAATCGTCGATTCCCCAGAAAATATGGGAACATATGGGAAGTGGGGGGGGAGACAAAGACCCAGAAAATATAGGAAATTATTGAGAATCCTGTTACGTGTGTCTATTTATGGAATCGCTTCGCTCATTCCGCCGGCCCATAATTGCGTGCCGTTGTCGATTGACCGAGTGGTCTTTCGCGGTGCGGAGCTGCAGGGGCGGCGGCTGTTTTATAAGGCTTTGTGTTCGGCATGCGAGGCTTCTTAGTAACCGCTGGGGGAGTCTTGAACGCGTCGCGGGCCGTCTGGAAGCGTTTTGCCTAGGGGGACTCTTTGTGGCCGGGCCGCGGCGTCCACGCGGCAGGGGCCGCCGCGGTGTGGCCGCCGCGGCCGCCGTGGCCTCGGCTCGCCGAGCGCGTTGCCCTGCTCGCAGAGTGCCTCTGCTCTCGCAGACGTCCGACAAGCAAAAAAAGCACAGGCACTCTTCGACGCAGCACACACAGATCGTAGATCCCCCGCGGCGGAGCCAGGCCATGTGCGAGCAGTCGATTTGCGGGTGGGGGAGCGCGCTTGTCCATCGGCAGTGGCCGCCGCCGCGGCCACGGCGGCGCCGGCCTCTGCCGCGCGGGGGTGCGGAGGGCGGAGGCCGAGAGTGATTCGCTTCGCGGCGCGAGGGGTCCGGGGTCGGCGCGGCAGCTCCACAGGCGAGGGGGGCATATCTCAGGAGGGGATAAAACACACAGACACAATGAATCGTGGATTCCCCCGAAGATATGGGAAAAGATGGGAAGTGGGGGGGGAAGACAAGAACCCAAGGCCCCTTCAATATCCATGTGCACTCCCAGCTCGGAGTTTCGGGCTCCCTTCCCCAGACCCCCGAGGCGCACCGGGTATGGACCAATGGATAAATGAGTCTGACTCGTAGGGGCGAGATTTGCATCCAAATCTTTTGCACCTCGGCCCTGCCCAAAAAGTCCAAGACGCACTGGATGTGGTGGGGGCGTTCCAGAAAGGACCTCGTCTTCGAGGAACTAAGCGGGTGCGGCTCTGCCAGCGGAATTGGCGGAATGCAGGCGGAAGCCCGTCGCCCCCGAGGATACGGAGGCGTTTTTTCGCGGACGGCGCGCGATTCGTAGTTTTTGTTGTTGGCTCCCCTGCAGAGCGCCCGCGGCGGCGGGGGCAACGCATGGCCGTCCCGGCGCCCCGCGGTGCGCAGGGGGGCCACGAAGGCTACGCTCGGAGTTGAATTGAGCAATCCAGCTGCCTTCAAAGACCCCTCCCCGGATCTCACGAGCGGCAAACGTATCCATATCCATGCCCTCGCGGTTCTGGACTCCAGGGCGCAGTCCCGCGCTTGAGCCGCACGCATGCGTTCCGCGCGGGGCACCCCCGAACAACAAGAACGCGCCGCATCCGCGGTGTCGCGGCCCAGGGGTCTGGCCCCCGAAGCCGTGGGTACGGATTCGCCCACTAGGGACCTAGAGGATCGCAGAGGTTCTCTGCATACTGTGAGCCCTTTGGACACCTTTCTTGCCCGCCCGCGGGTTACCCCTCCCGTCGCCAGCCCAAGCCAGCTTTTCTGCATGAGGGGGATCTCCCTCCAGCGTGCTGGGCCTTCTGGAGAGTGGCGCCGCGGAGGCTGCTCTCGCAGGGGAAGTTTTTTCCTCCAGCATGCTCCTTTGCCTCCTGGAGAGGGTATAACCGCGGAGGCGACTCTCGCACGTGGGGGAGGTTTCCCTCCATCAGGTTGGTCCCCTGGAGAGGAGGGCCGCGAAGGCTGCTCTCGCACATGATGAGTTGCCTTCGTGGGGAGAGTTCCGTCCAGCCTGCTTGGCCTGCTGGAGAGGGGCGCCGCGAAGGCTGCTCTCGCACACGACCCTTGGCACCCACGCTCGGCCACGCGCAGAGAGGGGTCAGGCTGATGGGGGAAGGCTTCTCAGAAGGGGGCTGCTTCTCAGGAGGCGCGGGCCTCGTCTGTAGATCTGTCGATGTGAGGCCGGTGCCTTCTGAGAAGCAGCCTCCCTCGAAGAAGCCTTCCCCCTCCCCCCTTGTGCGCGCCGCCAGCACACGCTGCCCCCCTGTCCCGCCCTTCCCCCACCCCCGCCAGAGGAAGCGCAAGGCGGCGCCGGCGGAGGCGCGGCCCTCAGCACGGCCCGGCCGCGCGGTCTGGCCTGGACCGCCTCGGTCGCGGATGGGCTCGGGCAGGGCCGCCTGCAATCCGATCCGATGCGATGCCGAGTCGCCGGCTGGGGCTGCGATTCCGCCTCGATGCGACTCGTTGCGATTCGCCGGCGTCGGCGGGGGCCAGCCTGAGTTGAGCGCGGCGCTCCGACGTTGATCCGATGCGGGGCGATCTGCTGGCGATCCGACCCGTTGCTGATCCGATGCGATTGGGCGATTCGATCCAGATCAGGCCTGTTGGGGCCGCTGCTCGGAGTCCTGGACCTTCTCGGGAGTGTTTTGGGGGGGCGCTCAGCGGGGGGGCAGCGAGGACTGCAGAAAAGGGGCCCTGCAGGCCCCTGACGGGGACCTCGAGGGCCAAGAAGAGGGCCGCTGGGGCCCCAAAAGGGCGCCTCCCTTCCCCGCCAGTACTTCGCCCCTCCCAGGAATTCGCGTCCGAGTTGTGAGGTTTTCGGTTGTTTCGCAGGTTCTGGGCGGTTTTCCATCCTCGGGGTGCGTTCCAGCAGCTGCGCCTCGCCGAGAGCGTTCTGAGGGTGCCTTGATCGCCCCGAAGGGTTACCGCAGAGCAGAGCTTTGACCCGAAAGCCAAGGGCAACAATAGGGGAACAGGCTCAGGGCGGGGCGTATCTACCCCCACTTTGACATGCACCATCGGGGCCCGACAACTCATCCTGCCCAGGATCGCGAGGCTTCGCTATCGCTCGGAGGTTGATAGATCTCCTACCCTGACACGTCGATCAGCGAATTGGCCGTTTTTCGATTCGCGAGAGGGCATCGTGGCCGTCATTTTGCGGGTCCAGGTCCGTCGGTTTCGGCCTTGATTAAAATAGAGGTTTACTACAGGGAGGTTTCTCCACCGCCGAATCGCCGATTTCGATGTTGTGTATGACCATCTCCACGCCGATGTTCGCCGCGGAGCCAATGCCCCCCCCCCCTGACGTCCCCCGTCGTATCCCTTGTGCGGCGCATGCAGGCGTCCTTCTTCTCGACCATGCATCGGGGGCGGCCAAGAGGGGGGTGATGACTAGGGGGGGGGTGTATATCATGGCGTGTGCCATGAGATCTCCCCAGGGCGCCCCTTCTTGTTTCATGGCGTCCCTGGCCCCTCCTTGGGCCGCGCACGTGCCGCCGGCCATGATCTGCACCCCCCCCTCTCTCGGACGCCCCCCTCTTGGCCGCCCCCGACGTGCAGGCGTCCTCCTCTCGGCTCGACGGGCGGTTGCCCCCCCCGCTGTGCGGCCCCCGTGGCCCTCACGGGGTGGATCTGCCCGGAGAGGCCCGCCGCGGAGGGTCACACCGCCTTCGCACGACGCCGCAATTGGCGCGGGGCCTTCAGATCTCGGCGTCGCAGTTTTTTGTTCGCCACGGGCGTTCTCGCCCAGTTTCGGGCCCTGAGACCCAGATTTGAGGGGGGGTGACGAATGTTGTGGTGTGTTGGTGGGACATCTAGCTTTCCATCCACCGTGCCTTCAGGCAAGGAGGTGCCTGTCGCAGGCCTTCGGTTGCGTTGCGCGTTTGCACGGCCTCCCTCCTTCCCCTCGTCGATCTTGTCCTCCTCCTCCTTCTCGTGCGCTTCCTCCTCATCTTCGTCCTCATCGTCCTTACATGATTTCTTTCTCCTCGTAGCCATCCCCATGCCTTTGCTATTCGTCTCACGAGCCGAGTCTATTAGGCTGCGCTTCCTGTTCTTGCCTGGCCAGGTATGTTCTTTCAAAAGTATTGTGTTTCATCCAATCGCTTGTCTTGACGGTCCCTGATCCCTAGCTCGATCCCTAAAGGCGCTTCCTGGAGGCCGAACACAGCTACGAATGTTTGATTCGTTTGTTATAAGACATTGGAGGTCTTGAAGCTCCCACCTGCCCCCCTCCCCCTCGCCTCACTCCTCCGAGCGGCCCGCCGAGGGACCCAAGGAGGCGGACCCCGAGGCCGGGTGGGGTGGCAGAAAAAGTGGGCCGCTCGCTGCGAAGCCAGAGGCAGCATGGAACCGGCCTGGGCCCCATCCACGCCGGGCGTTCCCCAAAGAAGGCTCCCGCCCTCACCGAATCGATGCGTCGTAGGATTAAGCCATATGGGGCCGAGCATCCATAGGGGAGCACGGGGTCATACGCAGGAGGCCAAGCAGCCACGAGAGCAACGGGAGGCTACGCACCCAGGCCCGACCGGACGCCCATGTGTGGCGGGAGGCCAATCCATACGAGGCCACGCACAGACGACCCGAACCGACACCCATGACCATTTGGGCGGGAAGCCATACAGTCAAGACGTTGCAATTTGGAGCAGTTCGGGTTCAGGAGGGACTTTGGTTTTCGGGCTGGGCCTTAGATTAACGTCGGGGAACCTATTCGTAGCCCGAGGTCCGCCGTGGCCATGATTAGCCCCAGTCGTGCCTTCTTCAGCAGCCCTAGTGTGGGGCCGGACGAAAAGGGGGGGATTGGGAAAGGGGGGGTTACGAAATTTGCTGCATGCAGCTGGTTTCGGCCTCATCGAGGGGCCCATTCCTCGATACGTATGTAGCCGCCTCCGGCGCCGGGAGGCGCTGGGAAAGTTACGCGAGCTGGCTCTCAAACCCCCCCCTTCGTTATCCCCACCTTTCGCCCGACCCGACAGTGGCAGCACGATGACTGCAGGAGGCCGGAGGGCAGGCACGCACGGCCCGAGCCGACATCCATGCGCAGGCTCCTCGGAGCACACGGCAGCAGAGCCCAGGCCCACGGGGCCGGGCCGCGGGAGGCCACGAGAGGAGCCCACCGCGGCAAAGGCCAGGCCGCGGGAGTCCAAGGCAGCGGCGGGGGAGGGGCACGCAGGACCAGCCTGCGGCAAGTCGCGTGAGCCTATTCAGGAGGGAAACAAAAACACACAGACACAATTAATTGTCGACTCCCAGGAAAATATACGGAAATATGGGAAGTGTGGGGGAAGAGAGAAACCCAGAAAACATGTCGAAATATGGTGAATCCTGGGATGTGTGTGTATTTATGTGTGTTTGTGAGCCCCTTCAGACCTATGTTTGGCGCTCCAGGAAGGGCCTCACCTCTTGAGGGATTGAAGAAGCTGACTGCTCTTCCTCGGCGGAAGGCCAGGGGAAGGCGGCGGAAGCAAACGGAGGGCGCCTCCGCTGACGGAAGGCGGCGGAAGCTCTGCGGAAGGCGGTGACATTAACAGTCTCCCCCGAGAGATGTCAGCATGTGTTCGGCGCAGGGTTTCGGGAGCTCGCCATCTGAGACACGAAGCCAGCGGAGTCCCAGCGCCCATGGGGCGAGGACGAAACCATTCAGGGCCTGCGGGGCCGCCGGGACGCCATTGGAGCCCAAGTGGGAAGCCAAGCCAGAGTCCAAGCTGCCACGGGCGAGGGTGAAACCCAAGGCCCATGGGGCGGGACGCCACGGGAGTCTGAGGTCGGGAGAGCGACACGCAGGGTTGTTGATTCTCAGAGCACAGGTACAAACCGAGCTGTCCGTGTACTTTTGTTTTGGAAAAAGACGCTGGCCTCGGTGGAAGCCGAAGGAGGCTGGAGAAAAGCACATGGGCGGCATCGGTGGCGTAAGCGGGGCGGCAGGAGAGTGACACCATTCAAGGGAGAGAGAGAGAGAGAGAGAGAAAGAGGCCAACATTGGCGCACCCCCAGGGGTGTCGCGAGCTGGCCAGAGACGACCGCCGTGGCCAGGCGCCGATCTCGGGCCTGTGGTCGGCGTGGCCAGGGTCAGTGTGCTGCGTGAGCACAGCTGATCGGGGGGCCCTAAACGGCGTGGCGACCGCATCGCATGGAGAGTCGGTGGAGGCTCGGGGTCACCATGCGGTTCTGGGGCCGGGGTCGTTCTCCAAGAGCACGGCTCGGGCGGCCAGGCCCTCCGAGGCCCCACGGCCCTGCGGTGACGGACCGTGTGGTGGGGTCGTTTGGGATCTCCCCGAGGTCACCACGCGGTCTGTCACCGCATGTGGTTTGGGGGTCCTGAGAGCTGATGAGGCCCTTCGCAGGGGCGCGGAGATGAGCGAGCTCCGTGCATCGCGGCCTGGGCCGAGGAGCCCGGGGCTTTTTTCTCCGGACGGCTGGCGCGAGAGAGCGCAGAGGTAGGCGCACACGCGGCGTGCGGCTCGGGGCGGCGCGGGCGAGGAGGCCATTTTTTCTGGCAGCGCGCACCAGGGTGCGGCGCGAGTGCGGCGGCCTTCGCAGCAGGCGGGGTGCTTCTCTGAGGAGGCGGGCGGCTTCTTGGCTCGCCTGTAGGCCTAGCAAATAATGTTCTAAGAACCTTGTGTGGTTTCCACGAAATTTTCTTAGAACATGTCTGGCTCGGACTGTCTCGTTTTGACACATCGGGTTCATGTTCTAAGAACATGTCGTGGTATATAGAAATGCCGGGACCGGTCGGTCCCTGCTCAATTCTTAGAAGCCCCTTCACCCTCCTCCGCCATTCTGATGTGCCTTCGGGGCTGCACCTCCTCGAGGCCAAGCGCGAGTCGAAGGTGGCCCGCAAGGACAAGGAGGGCGGTCCGGCGTACAGCGAGAAGGACCCCGCCTCGGGGAGAGCTTCGACGTCGCCACCTTCGTCGTCCTCATCGTCGTCGTCGCCGCCGTCGACGGCTGAGGGATCTCGACCCGGGGCCCAAGAGCGGCCCCTAGGCAGGGTCCATTTCAATGCGATCCATCTGGTTTGATCTCGGCTCTGGCCAGCGCGATTCGATGCGATTCCAGTGCTCGGGGGATCCGCTGCGGGACCCGATGTTTGCATGGCGTTGTCGTGCATCCTGGCGCCGCCGATCCGATTCGATTCCGACTCCAAGCCGATAAGGTCCGATTCGGTATACGGTCCGATCCGATCGCCCGATGCGAGCTGCTCCTGCCAGAAACCGAAAGCGAGGAGACGCGCCAGGATTGGCAATAGCGAGATCGTCGGAGATCTGGGAGGCTGGTTTGGGGCCTCGCGCTACGACAGGTTCGCGTCGTGCCTACCAACGGTGACCCTGCCGCGGGCGTTCACGGTGAAACGCCGCCAGCGACCCAGAATCGGTCGACGTTGAGCGATCTGACGTTTCGGAAACGGCCGGTCCTTCCAGGGGGAAGGATCCTCGCGGAGCCAGTCAGCCACACCCAGAGGGGGGCATAGGGGGAGGGGGGCGGCTTCTCAAGAGGAGGCTGGTTCTGAGAAGGCGCGGGCCTTGCCAGGCCCGCGCCCTCCAAGAAGCAGCCTCCTCCTGAGAAGCCTTCCCTCGTGCGCGCCGCCGACTCCCAGGCGGCACGATCCCCACGGCGTCGGGAGCCAGCGCCGAGGTCGTTCTCCGGAGGCGGCCTGGGCTGACCCTGCAGCAGGCGGGGGCCTGGAGCGCCTTAGCTGGCTTTGCGCCGCTGGCGGCGGGCGCGGGGGGGGCGGCCGCCCATTTTGGGGGGGGTGGGGCGCTCGCCGAGGTCGCCCGGGGCCGCTTTGGGGGGCCGTCCCGTGCAGCGTGGGACGCCGCGAGCTTGGCGCCTCAATCTGTTGTTTCTCGAGCCGGGCATTTGTTCGCGCGGAGTCGGGCCCCAGGGCTCCAGGGGGGTTCCGCTCTTCTCGTTGTTTTTGGACACGTCGTGATGGGTCTCTTTTCTACCACCACCACCACCACCATAAGTTGGAGGGGGAGGGGGTCCATCTCCTCCTCCTCCTCCTCCTCTTCCTCCTCCTCCTCCTCCTCCTCCTTGTACTCCTCGTCCTCCTCCTCCTCGTCCTCCACCTCCTTCCCCCCTCCAACTTATGGTGGTGGGAGGGGCCCAGCCTCGGGGGAGGAGGCGTCGGAGACTGTTTTTGCGTGCCCGGTGTGGTGGGGTATGGGTTCTGCCCCGGGTCGGCGGAGCTCCACCGCCGCTCGGGCACCCCGTCTTCGCCCCTTCCCACCCGCTCGCGCGTTTCTGCCCAGGCCGCCCGCGTGAGCACTCGTCGAGTCGCGGCGCTGATGTTGTGCAACCCGCTTCCCGATCAGCTGTGCTGCGCCACTTGCGCGGCACAGTTTCACAGTCACACGGGTCGCGAGCCCCAACATTCATCGCATTCATTGTCGTTTGCACGCCCTCGTGTTGTAGGGTGCTTGACATGCGGTGTCGGCCGGCCACGGTCGCGTCTTCTCTTCCTCTCCTCCTCCTCCTCCTCCTCCTCCTCCTCCTCCTCCTCCTCCTCCTCCTCCTCTCTCCCCTCCTCCTCCTCCTCCTCCTCCTCCTCCTCCTCCTCCTCCTCCTCCTCCTCCTCCTCCTCCTCCTCCTCCTCCTCCTCTCTCCCCTCCTCCTCCTCCTCCTCTCTCCTCCTCCTCCTCCTCCTCCCTCCTCCTCCTCCTCCTCCTCCTCCTCCTCTCTCCCCTCCTCCTCCTCCTCCTCTCTCCCCTCCTCCTCCTCCTCCTCCTCCTCCTCCTCCTCCTCCTCCCTCCTCCTCCTCCCTCCTTCCCTCCTCCTCCTCCTCCTCCTCCTCCTCCTCCTCGTCCTCCTCGTCCTCCTCCTCCCCCCCTCTTCCTCCCCCTCGCCCTCGCCCACTCCTCCTTCCCCATCTCCGCATGCACGTCACGGGGCCTGCGCGGAGGAGCGGTCGGCGCAGGCCAGTGGCGACAGCCTGCTGCTGCCCTCGATCCTCGGCCGCTCGGGTGAGCTCCCCACGAGCACCGCTCGGGGAAGCCCCTCACGGGTTCTGCGGAGGACACTCCGCAGTGGACGCCAGAGAGGTCGAGGGCAGAGGCCTCAGATTCCATACCCGCCTCCCTCATCATCGAGCGTCGTCCAGGGTCTTCCGACAGAGGGTCGCGTCGTGCGGCGCTGCGGCCGCTCGTGCACTTGCCCACGGAGGCATTCGATTCCGAGGGTGCGGCTTGCTAGAAGATCTTGAGAATTTCCGATGGCGTTAGACAGTTTGGGAGAACCTCCAAGCCTCACTCACACAAGGCAGCGAAAAGCATATCCGAGAGCCGTGGAACGCCGCTGCGCGATCGATCCCATGCCGATGCCGGTGCTCCACAACGTGGTCCGCTGGGAGGGCAGGCACGGATAACGCTTTGGATCCCCAGAGACCACCTTCCCAATCATGCTGTGGACAACACGTAGATCGTCCAATTCGCCTCAGGCATCGTGTTACAACCTCCGCAAAGGAGGCACTGAACGTTCTCTGCACAGCCCTGCACTCCATCAAGAAGGAGCGCGGGACTCGGGACCCCGTGCAGGCGTCTTTCGTCAACAGCGCCATCAGGCAGGCTGGAGGAGGGAGCAGGGAGGAGTAGGCCGAGGCGCAGGGGACGGGGGGCGGAGGAGGAAGGAGAGGAGGAGGAGTTCCTCGTCACGTGCCATTCGAGATGCGCGATCGGGCTCGAGTTCTGCTTACTGTGGGGCGAACGGCTGCCATGGCCAGGGGGGGGAGCGGTGGAGGACGAGGAGGAGGAGGAGGAGGAGGAGGACGAGGAGGAGGAGGAGGAGGAGGAGGAGGAGGAGGAGGAGGAGGAGACATTGCTGAAAAACTCGAGACGCCTGGGCTCTTCCTTGGTCCGGGCCTCGTCAGGCCCGCCGCGCGGGGGGACCCAGATCAGGGCTCGGGGCAAGGAGTCGGTCCCGTGCTGAGCTGTGGGGTCGGCAAGTCCTGGGGCCACCTCGTGAACGATCGCGACGTCTTGGGACGGGCGTGCTTCCACTACACACTTTTTTTTCTAATTCTTCGAAAATGTATGATTGTTGGGGCGGCCACGATCCTTTTATTTCTAATTGTGTTATCCTGGGCCTATTCCTGGCCACTGGGGGGCCAGGAACAATTAGAAACGAGTACAATCAGAAATGAGCACGATTAGAAATGACTGACGTGTAACCAACACCTTTTGGGACGCGTTCTGGGTGGGTTCTGTGCCCCCTTGAAGGCCGACGCCAGCATTCCCGCCGACCTTCAAGGGGGGAATGCTGGCGTCGGCCTTCAAGGGCTTGGGCAACCGCGCGTCTCCAATCTTGGTGAGTTCTGCATGCTCACTTGATTTACCCTTTCGGTCGGATTCATGCATGCAGAGAGTGGCGGCCGAGCGCCCATGCCAAACGACATCGGACGTTTATGTGGGACTTTGGTTGGTTCCGGAGGAGGTTCGGGGCGATCTCGGAGGTTCTACTCCAACAGCGTCCCGAACCCTTGAGAGCTCCTAGATCCACCACCAGACACTGGTGGATATAGGAGGAGGACGACGAAAGTGAGATGGACGGAGTGGGGGGCCGAGAAGTAGGACGATGCGGATTAAGAGGACGATGCGACAGATCGGGAATGACCCAGGGCCCACCGACACTAAATTTGCGCCTCACCGCTCCATGGTTCATTGGTTAGTTTTTGTATACTTCTGATGGGTGTTGCCTTGATCCAGGGGCCCATCACAGATTCTTCGAATGGCTTTTGGGTCGGCCGTAGTTCCCTCCAGGACGATGGAAACGACAGGTCTGGCTTCGTTTGTTGTTGTACAAGGACGTCTTGGTTGTCGTGCTGCTATTTTAGAATTTGTATCACCAGCGATTCCTACTGCTTCACGCATTTTCCTGCAACCGCTGCGCTCACTGGCTCTTGCTCATAATTGGCTGTTTGCTACTTTTTGCCCAGCGTGGTTAAGTGGACTCACTTCACTTCCTAGTGCACAGTTGCTGATGAGGCCAGTCTTCTCGAACCGTCCTTCAGCATCCCCCAGTTATACACTTGATGCGATTGGGCCCCGAGGACCCCCCGCGATAAGTGACCTGACCTCCGTTCTCCTAGATTGCAGTTGTTTCAAAAATTTTGCTTAGTGTTCGGCGCAGCTTCTCCACCGTTCTCGGGGACACATTGTTTTGATTGCTCTCGTGTCGAAAGTCCGCTTGCTGAGAACGGGAATCGGGGAATAGGCGCTCCAGGCGCTTCCAAGGCACGTTAAGAGAAGGACCAGGAGCAAGGAAAGCAGGGGGCGCGCTTCGAGGCGTGTGCGGTCCGATTTCCACATCTCCAGAACGCCCTTCGAGCGCCTGCTGAACATGCTGAAGCACGCCGAGCAGGAGGGCTGGCTGTACATCGACAAGCGCAGGGACGACGTGCGGGTCACGATCAGAAGCCTCCCCGCGCTCCCGGAGGGCGAGGCGGTGAGGTCGGTCACGATGAGGGACACCCCGGTGACGGTCGGGGCGGATGCTGCCCGGAAGCACCTGGGGGCGGGCAAGGAGCCATGGGCGTCTCACCGCAGGCGGGGCAGGGTGGGCGTCAGAGGATCGCGCCGCATCGCCGACGCCGCGGCTCTGCGGCACGAGGCGGAGGCAGATATCGAGCGGTGTGCACCTCGAGCAGGAAAACAGTCTGCCAGGAGGTGCCCCACGGAAATGTCTTGTCCCACGGGCGGGCACCAGGCGAAACCCCAATTGACCCATCCAGTGCCTCAAGAAGATAGGTCAGAACCCCGCATTGTAAGCATTGTTTTGGGAACTCCTTGCTTATTTTAGTGATTCCAACGCGTGCGCGCGCTCTCGCAGCGGGGCGCGCACGTGCCCCGCATCGTACCTGGTGCGACGAGCGCTTCGAACAGAGAGCACGAATGGGCGGCATCGCCTCACGCGACAAATGCATAAGAGGGCGTCGGCACTGGCCCCTTGCCGGTATGGTTTTGCGAAACATTCGGAGGGGTGAGCGTCAAGTTTGGCCTCGGTCTGGCGAGAATCGATGATAATCGATGGATGGGTTGCAAACTATGTGGTGCAAGCTTTGTGGTGCAAGCTACGTGGTGCAGTCCTCGAAGTTGGTACCAAAACTACGCGGGGCAATACAGGTGGTGCACTCCAAACTGGTGCAAGAGGTATCGTCCATTACATTGCATGTTGCACGCCAATCTATGTGTGGTGTAGTCGAAGCGCGAGACAGCGGACGAGGCGCCCACGGGCGGGCAATACGCGAGAACCGGGCGCACCCGCACCAGACGCATACGAGGCGGGCACCAGGCGAAACCCCAGCCCACCCAGCCAACGCAAGGGACGTACACGAGGCGGGCACCAGGCGAAACCCTGGCCCATCCACCCAGTTCACGGGGCGATCCCCAGGAGGAGCCCCTAAGTGCAGGCGCAGTCTGAGGATCTCCTCCACTGTCCATGACGTCGTCACCGATGCATCGGCGGTGCGGTGTCTGACGGCCTCGTTTGATGCCGCCCTGTTCGAGCGACGTGAACATCGGAGGCGGTCAAGAGGTGGGTGATGACCTGGGGGAGGGGTGAGAGATATCATGGACGGGGCCGTGAACTCTCACCGTGCATCGTGGCCCCCCTCGTCTTCTTTCCGCACGCCCCCTGCCCCCGCAGGCCGCGCACGTGCTCTGGGCCCTGATTTGCGAGCGCCCCACGACGCCACCATCTTCTGACCGCGTCGGCCCCCCCGGGGCCTCGAGACCTCCCCGGGGACCGGCTTCTCCTCCTGGGCTGTTCTCGTGGGCGGTCCCAGGGCCTGCTTGCGGGCCCGCGGAGGCCGAAGGTGGTCAAGACCGGGTCTCCGATGCTCGAGCCTCGAGACGGGAGCCTGGAGACGGGGGCCAAGGCAAGCGGGGGTCAGCCAGAGCGCCCGATCTTGCAAGAGCAGGATCCTGCAGGGCCAGGGTCGCATTGACCCGGGTTTGGGTGCAGGATCCTGCAGGATCTTCCGCATTGACCCGGGTTTGGGTGCAGGATCTTGCCAGATCCTGCAGGGCCTGACTGACCCGGGTCTGGATTGACCCAGGTCAGAGGATCCCCGTTTCGGCCGAGGATCTCGACCGAGGACCAGAGCAGACCAGGCTGCCCGCGCAGAGGATCGATCGTTCCCACGCGGTCGGCCTGCCCACGCTCGGAGGTTCGAGGCGCTGCATCCGACAACAATGGTTCTTGGCCCTCGTCGGTGCCCCAGGGGCCGCTGTGTAGGGCCCCAGGGCCGTCAGGAAGACCGACCCGGGGTGAGAAGCTGCTCCAGGTAGATCCTTCGGGAGGGGACCAGGAACAGGTTTTTTGGCAGGGGGCAACGGGGGCGGCGGGGGGAGGGCTCGGAATTCGGCGAAATCCGAACCCTAACCCCGCATCACTCGGGTTGACCCAAAAGGGGGTCCAGCGACAATGGGGTGGTGCAATAGATCTGGTGCACTGGATCTGTGGGGTTGCATTACATTTGGGACGTGCATTACATTTCGAGGCGCAGATGTATTGCTGTATTTTCGCGTGCAGCAACACATGATTTGCAGTGCAATGCATTACAATTCCCTGGTGCAGTGCGTTTGCAATACAAGCGCCCCAGATCTATTGCACCACCCCCTTTCAGCTGGACTCCCTTTTAGGCCACCCGAACTCCCATCGATCCAGGAGACCTCCAGGGAGCAGACGGCAACATACGCCTACACTTTCGGAGGGCCGCGCAGATTTCTGGGGTCGCCGCCGGCCCCCCCCGCTCTGTCGCGCCAGCGGCGGCGCCAGAGGCGGCGCCAGGGAGCTCCGGCGCTGGTCCAAGAAATCCGCGCGGCCTTCCGCAAGTCCACGCGTATGTCAAGCAGTGGCGAAGCGACCTGGCGTGCCCATAGTCCTACCAAACAATGTTCTAAGAACCTTTTGTGTGGTTCCCACGAAATGTTCTTGAAACATTTCTGGTTGGGACTGTTGTGTTTTGTCACATCGGGTTTATGTTCTAAGAACATTGTTTCTGTTCATAGAACACTTTTGGGTTCTAAGAACATTTCGTGGTAGGACTATAGGAATGCCGGGACGGTCGGTCCCTGCTCAAGTATGTCATTGGATGTTTCCCAAGAACCGATGGTCGGTGGAGCTTCGAAGAGGGGATCGACTATGTAATGGATTTCTTGTCGAGCCTGCACAACAAAGGATACGTATATGAGATTCGCATTTGCACGAAAATGTGACACGGTATGCGCATTCTTCGTGGACTCGGCGAAGCAAGCAATTTTTTGAGGCAACTCAGTTCGGCAGTCGATGCCCTAGTCGAGACGTGCGGGGTTCGGTCCGAGCCCGGTTCGGCTGTCGCCTCCTTGCACGGCATGGGCCCGCGCAGGGCCGCGCGCAGCGGATTTGTCGCGCTCGCCCCCGTGGCTCCCCCGGCGCGGTCTTTCGGCGCGCCCGCGCGCGGCCTCGGCCTGCGGAGGCCGCCGCTGGATAGCCAGACAACGGCGATCACCACGACGACGACGACGACGACGACGACGACGACGACGACGACGATCACGACGACGATCACGACGACACTGACGACGACGACGACGACGACGACGACGACGACGATCACGACGACGATGACGACGGCGACGGCGACGACGACGGCGACGACGAGTACCGCGTCTCCGTGCGGGGGGCCAGTCGGGGACAACCTTGTTCTAGGCCTCGTAGACGGGTTCGGCACCGATGGGGCCGGATGATCTCGCCGCGTCAACGATGCATCGACGAGGCGACTCGATGTGGAGCACGATTTTTGTCCACGCTGGCGTCGCCGATGCACCACCTACGTCACAGATGCATCGTTGATGCATCGGCGATGCATCGGCGATGCAGCGCGATCCTCCGACCCCGACTACTCCGACCCCATGTTGGAGGCCTCTAGTTTGGCATCCAGCTCAGGGACGGGGAAATCTGGGGTTCGAGGAATCAGGTTCTCGGCGCGCTTTCGCTGCTCTCGGTGGGTCTCCGGCGTCCAGCCTCGAGGTGCCTCCAGCGGCCGCGCCTCACCGAGAGCGTTCGGGGGGGGCCCGGATCGCCCCAGACGGCTGCAGGAGACCCGAGTCATGGCCCGAAAACTCGGTATCGTTTAACCGATCCCCATCCCTGGCCCCATCCCCATCCCCATCCCCATCCCATTCGAGACCCCCACCAAATTATCCCCCCCAGTTGGGGATACACCCTTCGAAACCCTAAGGGAACGGCCTATATCTCTATCTAGGGTGGTAAATCGGCCAGTGGGGCCCAGGCCACGCCGCTGGGGATGGGGATCGGTTAAACGATACTCACCAACCAGGGGCGACGCCAGGGTGGTGCATCGATCCCCCGTCGCCCATTTATCGCCGACATGGGGCCCGGTAGCTCGCCCAGGAACGTTCGACTTCGCCGTCGGGAGCCTATGGTCGACCCATCGGCGATCCTGCCACCGATTCCTGGTCGGTGCGTCCTCCCCCGAGCCAGCCCCCCTACTGGTGCACCCCAAAGCCGCCCGCTCGGGCGTTGCGCGAGGAAAGGTGCACCTTTCGTTCGCCAAGGGGCCCCCAGGGGGCTCCCTGGGGCCAAAAGAGTACGAAGGTTGTACGTTCCTCCCTCCCCGTGTATCGCCCCCCCCCCCCCCCTCCCCATTAAGCAAAGCCCAGCCATCTCTCTCGATCTTCGGGGCTCCCTTGAACAGCCAGCTTCCAGAGGAGGCCGCGAAGGCGGGCGAGAAGGCAGAGGCCGCCGAGCCGCCGCCGTACGTCGTGCTCCTGCAGGAGTGGCAGGGCCGCCACACGGGCGAGGAGCCCCCGTGCTACGCGCTGCTGCTGACGGACTGGTCGCGGCTGCGGCAGGAGGCGGCCGGGCCTGCGAGAGCGAATAGGGAGCAGTCAGCCGGCGGGTCCGCGTGCCCGCGTCGTGAGGAAATCGCGGTCAGGGGTTTTGTTCGGCCCCTTGGAGCCCGCACCGGGCCCCTGGGGCCGTCACAAGACGGCGCGGGGTGAAAAGCCGACCCTGGAGAGAAGGCTGTGATTTCAGGGGGAGCCCGTCTGGAAAAAGTCAAGACATATCGGATGTCTGGGTAACGGGGTTCAGCGCAAACGGGGCGCAGCCAGAGCGCCAGATCTTGCAGGGTCCCTCAACGCCAGTTTTTGGCTGGGCCTGGTTCGGGAGCCGCTCGCGGCCCCGGAGGTGGCGATGCGCATTAGCTGAGCCGGGCTTGGCAAGGCCCCGAGCAGACATGCAGCGTAGTTTGTTCTAAGCTGGCTGGGCTGGGTCCACGCCCGAGAACGTTCCGGTATTGATGGTGGCACCCTTCCTTCGCTTTCGCGTGGGGCCTCGTCGCCGCGGCTGGTTTTGCCTCGGAATCGTGGTCAGAGCGTTCCCTAATTACAGGCTGGGGGTTCGGGGGGGGCGGCGGCATCTGCAAATCTCCTGCTCTCCAGATAGGATGGTTTTCTTCCCCTGCCTCCTTCCACGCCATGCCCTAACGGGCACGGGCGGTCCTGGAGAGACTGTCCGCCGTCTTCGGGCTCAGGGGTCTTCCCTGTGCCCCCGAGCATCGAAGCAACAACTCAGGATGAGACCATTGTGATAGGCTTGTTTTCCACCACCACCACCATAAGTTGGAGGGGAAAGGGGTCCTCCTCCTCCTCCTCCTCCTCCTCTTCCTCCTCCTCCTCTTTCTCCTCCTCCTCCTCCTCCTCCTCCTCCCTTTCGTCCTCCTCCTCGTCCTCCTCCTTCCCCCTCCAACTTATGGTGGTGGCGGTGGAAAACCGGCCCATCACATTGTTTCGGGCAAAGTCCTGCGCTCCATGAGTTCCGACACCTCGTTTTTGTTCCAGTCGCCGTCCTCCCCGCTCGCCCCCTTCCCGGTGGCTCCATCCCCGGTCCCGCGCAGGTGGGCCATCAGGGCCACGGGGTAGAGAGGGCGGAGGAGGTGGAGGGGGAGGGGGGGGGGGCGGGGATGGAGAGGGGGTGGAGGGGGGCGGCGAGGGGACGCGAGGAGGGATGGGAAGGGAGCGGAGAGGGGGAGCGGAGGGAGATGGGGAGGGATGGGTGGGGGGGAGGGGGGAGGGGATGGAGGCCAAGGCGAGGAGGGGGGGGAGGGGAGGGGGGAGGGCATGGAGAGGGGAGGCGAGGCTGGGCCCCTCGGCCCACAGCCGTGGCCGGGGGTGCGCGCTGCAGCGAGCGGCTCGCGTCGCACCCCGCTCTCGTCTCCGCTGCGCGGGGCGCCCTCTGCTAGCTCGGAGGCCTCCCGTGGCCCGAGAGGGGCGGCCGCAGCGCTCACCGTGGGTGGGGCTGCTGGAGCCTCCTCGGAGCGCCCACCTCGCGGTGAGCGACGCGGGCCCTGCGTCGTCGGGGAGCGACTCGGTGAGTGCATTCCTTTCGGCGCCTCGGGGCCCTTACCGGGCCCGGGGACGTCACGCAAGGACTGAGCAGGAGAAAGCGGTCCCAGGGCAGTGGTCGAGAGGTCGGGGGGCGGTGCCTCGCAAAAATTAAGCCGGGCGTGTCCCTCTACAGGAGGAATATTCAAAAATAGTCAAAAATTGTATGTGGACGAATTTCCCTATATTTGGACCATTTTGGAATATGTTGGGGGTATTTCTTATTTTTCGTCCAACATCCCTCTGTAGGGGGACAGGCCCGACTTAACGCAAAAACTGAGACGCCAGGTTTCTGAGATTGGAGAGGTGAAGAAAGGTTCACCCCTGGCATCTGAAGTGGGCCCTGACGGGGCCCCCTGGGGCCCCACAAAGGGATACGACACGTGCACGTGCCTCGTCCCCCCCCCCGCTCCTCCCCGCCCCCCCCCTCGGGGCCGCGGCCGGGCGGCGCGGCGGGCCTCGCCTTCGGCGCGCCGTGCGCCGCTCGGCAGAGGGCGGGCGGGGGGGCCGGCGGGGGCAGTGGCGGCGGGTACGCCGGCAGGATGCGTCCGCAGAGGTGCTCCGCCGTGGGGGGGGACGGGTCTCTGACGCTCGGGCGTTGTGGCGGAGGCTCGACGGGCGGCCTCGGTCCTCGGCCAGGCCCCATGGGTTCTCGCAGGTCGATCGGGCTCGCGGGGGGAGCACAACGAGAAGACAGGGCCGACAGTTCCGACAGCGGCTTGCTGCGGAGGAGGAGGAGGAGGAGGAGGAGGAGGAGGAGGGGGAGGAGGGGGAGGAGGGGGAGGATGAGGAGGAGGACGGGAGGGAGAAGGAGGCAGGAAGTGAGGATGAGGATCGGAGGACGTTGGGCCGTCGGCTTGGGCTGATCGGTCCTGCGGTCTGTAAACATAGTGGCCCTCTCGCCTTTGACCAGTCAGTTTGGCCAGTGCCCGCCCAGACCAGCGGCGTTCGTGCACGAAGGGAGGAGGCCCTTGCCATGGTGATGTTGGGGGGGTCGGCTAACGCGCACATGACTTCGTTGCAACAGCCACATGGACGGTCTGCTGGTCTGCCTCTCCGATACTCGTAGCAGGACCAGTGCTGACAGGGCAAGACTGTCGAACTGATGTCGCCGGAAGAAGCCTTCCTCCCATCTGTGGGTCCTCGACGGCCGGGGTTCTTCGGTCTGGTGGCGCAGCCTTTGCTCATTACCCCACGTGCCAGATCGAGAAGTGCCCTCCTTCACTTCCACCGCCTTCATCGCCTTCCCTGTCCACCCATAGGGTCAGATCGAGAAGGTGGCATCTCCTCCCCTGTCCGCCCAGAGGGTCAGATCGAGAAGGCGGCGAATCCAATGGACGAGTTCTATGGCTCCTCGGGCCACGTCGAATCGAGAAGGGTCCCCCTTCGTTTCCGCCGCCCGCATCGCCTCCCCTGTCCGCCGAGAGGGCCAGATCGAGAAGGTGGCGAATCCCATGGACGAGTTCTACGGCTCCTCGAGCTACGTCAACACCAAGGGGGGCGAGGCCGCGAAGAAGGCCGCTGTGGGGGGGGAGGAGGGGGGGAGCGGCGGAGGCGGGCCGCGGCCTCTCCAGGAGGAGGTGCTGATAAGGGTCGCCCTCCAGATCCCTGTGATGGGCCTGCTTTCCACCACCACCACAAGTTGGAGGGGGAGGGGGACCTCCTCCTCCTCCTCCTCCTCCTCCTCCTCCTCCTCCTCCTCCTCTCCTCCTCCTCCCTCTCCTCCTCCTCTTCCTCCTCCTCCTCCTCCTCCTTGTCCTCCTCCTCCTCCTCCTCCTCCTCCTCCTCCTCCTCCTCCTCCCCCTCCAACTCATGGTGGTGGTGGTGGAAAACGGGCCCATCACTCTGCGCCTACACATGCGATCGAGATGGCCAGAACGTCGATGGAACGATGGCGGCGACGACTGACGCGCTGTTGCCCAAACGTTGCTTTTGCACATAGGGTCCCTCGCTTTTGTCGTGGGTGCTTTGATCTGGCTGCTGGGGTGTAGTGCGGCGGGCGCGCGTGGGCGCCTCGTTGGCGCCCCGTGTGTTGTGGTTGGTGGTGGTCAGGTGTTCGTTCGGTGGGTGCCTCGTGGGCGCCACGCGCGTGGGTGCTACGGTGGGGGCGTTCCTCGAGGGAATGTGCCCAGGAGGCTTCGGACCCTGGAGGGTTCCTTATCTGATGAGTGCGGCGGTGGCATCCATGACAGACCCACGGTTGGAGTTCCATTGGCGTACAGACCGCGAATTCTTTATCTACGATTTCTTCATCCAATGGTCGCACCGTAAGTGTTGGGTTTGCCCACCGCTGGCGCCCGTGGGCGCCTCGTCGCCGCCAACATAGCTGACACTGCATAGCTCACCAAACGTGTCGTGCACCACGTACCTTACGCTGCAACGCCTACACGACGTTGCTTATTTCACAGTGTTTGTACCACAGAGCTTACACCGCGGAGCTCGCACCACATTGCACATAACTTACACCACATATGCTCTACCACAGTGCCTACACAGCATGGCTTACACCACACAGGTTGCAGCACATAGCTCCCACCACATCGTTTACACATCATAGCTTGAACTATACAAATTGCACCGCAGAATGTTCACCGCACTACTTTCACAACATAGCTCGCACCACATAGCTTACACCTCATAGCTTTCAACACATAGCTTACACATCCAGGGCTGAGTGTATGGTGCGAGCGCTAGCAAACAACTCGTGACGGTAGTGGCATATTGGGAACTATTCGTTGTCAGTTTCAGCCCCAGCGGTGCATGCTTGTTTGCAGTCATCACTTGCCCAACAGCAATTGTTTTTTCATCAGGCAACAATGATTGGTGCGCATCTTGCCTGTTGGTACTGTCTCCATTTCGGGCGTGCCGAGCTGGTGATGACCATCATAATATGAAACAGCTGCTTAGATCGGGATGCGACTTCTCAGCCCACCTGGAGGTTCGGGAGGCTTGACGCGGGCCCCTCGACCTCTGAACTCCATTCCGTGAAACGGTGACTCGGTCTTTCGTCTCGCTTTGTTTTTTGTTGAAGACCCCGTGGCCCGAACCGAGCGGAAAGCCACGCGGAGAAGTGCCGGAGGGGTGCAGCGGGCCCCAGCACTTGTGTGTCCCTGCAGAGAGCCGTTGGGTTTCTGTCGCATCGTTCGCCGTGTCCGGCGCCGGCCACTGCGCGCCCGCTGCTCGCCGTGGCGTGGACACTTTTGGCTTAAGTCGGGCCCGTCCCTCTGTAGGGGGAATATTCAAAAATAGTCAAAACATAGTTTTTAGTTTTTTTGACCATTTGGGAATATTTGTTGGGGTATTTTTTAAGTTCGTTCAAAATTCCTCTGTAGAGGGACAGGCCCGACCTAACTTTTGGCACGTGACGCAGCCGTCGCGTTTGGGCTGCGCGCCGATGGGGGGGAAGGCAGAGGCGTCGGGCCCTCTTGATGGGCCTGCTTTCCATCACCACCACCGCCATAGGCTGGAGGGGGGAAGGAGGTGGAGGAGGAGGAGGAGGAGGAGGAGGAGGAGGACGAAGAGGAGGGAGAGGATGAGAGGAGGAGGAGGAGGAGGAGGAGGAGAGGAGGGAGGGAGGAGGGGAGGGAGCAGGAGGAGGAGGAGGGAGGAAGGAGGAGGAGGGAGCAGGAGGAGGAGGAGGAGGAGGAGGAGGACGAAGATGAGGAAGAGGAGGAGGAGGAGGAGGAGGAGGAGGAGGAGGACGAAGAGGAGGAAGAGGAGGAGTAGGAGGAGGACGAGGACCCTCTCCCCTCCAACTGGTGGTGGTGGTGGTGGGAACTGGCCCATCACCTTTCGGAATGCGCAGGAGACCTCCGGCACTCTGAGAAGCTTTCCACGCCTTCTCTCGGAGAGAAGGCACATCTGCATAAACATAAGCCTTTGGCGCTCCGCGCAGATGTCTTGGATCTGAGCCCGTGTTTTCATGCACGTGCGGTATCGTGCGTGACTCGGGGGGCGGAAGGGGGAGATGGGGCCAGTGCCTGGGAATGCTCAGGAATGGCTCACTCCCACACGGCGCCAGCGCGAATCGTGAGGTCAACGGGGACGATGCGGGACTATGCGAAGACGACGTCCACAGCCTTGTGAGCACAACCCAGTGGAGCCTTGAGGCTTGCGGTGCCCCTCTGCTCGAGGGGAGGCCCCACGAAGAGAAGCTCGACCAAACATAGAAGGCCCCGCGCCGCAGGGACCCCCGGCGGGCTCCAGCAGCCCCCCCCCCCAAATAGCAGGGCAGCCAGGGCCGACAGACCCCAGGGCGAAACGTGGCCGCGGCGCGGCGAGGCCAGTCTTAAGTCGGGCCTGTCCCTCTACAAGGGGAATATTCAAAAATAGTTAAAAAATAGTCTGGGGACGATTTTTTTTATATATTTTGCAATTTTGGCGTAATGTTCGATCATCTTTAATTTTTTTAGCCCAAGAGCCCCCTGTAGGGGGACCGGCCCAACCGAAGGCTAGTCACGGGCCGCCACCGCGGAGGGTTCGCGCACGGGCTCTGCGGGCAGGGGGGGCCCACGGCGCTCCGCAGCGGAGGCCGACGACGACAAGGCCCGCGAGGAGCCCGAGCGCCGTGCGCGGAGCCGGAGCGCGCCCCGCAGGGGTGCGGGCCGAGGATCCCCCCCCCTCCTGCGGGGCGGGGGGCCCGCCCGCGTCGCGCAGGGCTGCCGCCCTGCCGCCAGAGGCTTCGGGGGTGGACAGAACCCCCAACAGTGACACGTCGATTAGTGAATTGTCCGTTTTCGGTTCTCGAGAGGGCGCCGTGGCCGTTATTTTCCAGGCTTGCGCCCGCCAGGTTTGGGCCTCAGGTCGTTTTCACTAAACCACGTTTTGCTAAAGGGGGGTCTGTCCATCCCCGAAGGCTCAGGGGCAGTGTCCAGGGGGGGGGATGAGGAGGGCCCAGGGAGGTTTCGGCTGCGAGGCTCGAGGTCCTCGGGCGTTTCTCGTCGGCCCTGGTTTCGGCCGCCAGTCGGGGGGCCCCTATGTCTGGACCCCGGGAACGTCGCAAACGGGGGGGGATGAGGGCCCAGGGAGGTGTCGGCTTCGAGGCTCGAGGTCCTCGGGCGCTTGTCGTCGGCCCTGGTTGCGGCCCCCCCCTATCTGGGCCCCGGGAGTGTCGAGAACGATTCCGGATTAGGAAAAAAGGTCACGTCATGTCTGGTCAACCCGCAGGTTGCTGCAGCCCGTGGGCACGTGCACACTATGTGGACAATGATGCCGTAGTTGACGGCATCCGCTATGCAACTTGCATGCGTACCTCTGTGGCGATGCAGGGGGGGGAGAGAGAGAGAGAGAGAGAGAGAAGGAATGAGAAGGAATGAGGGGCGCGCGACCTGCTAGGACGTGAGGCGAGGCCAAGAGGGAATGGGGCTAGACTCCTGGATGTCCACGTTGCTCAAAAATCACGACTGGGCTCTGGCCTCGGGTGGTGCCAGGGAGGACCAGCGCGTTTTTGTTTGCTTCGTTGGTTTGCGCTGCACCGCCGGCCCACCTTAAGGGAGCCTTATGTGCCTCTCTTCCCGGGGCGTTGCCGTAGGAGCGTGGTCGGCGCCGTGCTTCCATCTAGGTCACCCAGGCCCAATGCCGTTCTCATTTTGGAGCCTTGCTGAATCGTTTGGGGACCTGATTCAGGGCATCTTGGGGATCTCTGGGGGCCCTCTTGAAGGCCCGTTGGGGGCCTGTTGGAGGTCTTTGGGGCCATCTTGTTGGTAATGTATCTCTGCCCGGCCTCTTCGAGTTCCCCCTCTTGGGTTCCCCCTGAGGCCCTCACGGGGTTATCTTGGGCGGTCTTGGGGGCCCTTTGTTCCGTCCTGGAGCCCTCTTGGGTTGTTTTGGAGGCCTTTGAGGCTGTCTTTGGGCGATCTTGTGGGCTTCGTGGGCTGTCCTGGACACCCTGAAGATCGCAAAGGCGAGTACGTAAGACATGGAGCCGACAGAGGAAAATCAATGATGTGCGCCTCGTGGCGCCCTCGTGTGGGTTCTCCTGGGGCTCCCTTGGGCCGTCGTGGAAGCCATTGGTGCTGTGTTCAGGCCATCTGGGGCCCTCAGTGGACCCTTCTTCTGAGCTGTCCCAGAGCACATGTTGCGGGCCGTCATGGAGTGTTGTTGGAGAATCTTGGTGCGCCTGGCAGATGTTCTCGGCCAGACGCGACCGCTGGCATCCCCGGCCGCCTGGGCCGAACTGGGGGTGGCCCCCGGTTCAAATCGGCCAGTCTAGGCCCTGGGGGCAAGGAGGCCCCAAGGTGGCCGGCGAAGCCTGTCGGTAGTTGAGATCTCTGGCAGAAAAGGGCCTTCTGATGAGGCAGGGTGCCTCTTGAAAGGGGCTGATGGCTTCCACAGGAGGCTCACGAGAGGGCCGGGGCAGCTCCCGAGAGCCCCCCTGCATGAAGTCTCATGCCGGGAGCGGGAAGGTAGGCGCAGACACACACAAGCGCCGACGCCCAGGAGCGTCTGGGACGTAGAGGGGGAAGGCGACACCATAAGATATGGAAGAATGGTGGGAATCCTGGGCTTGCGCCTTGGAAACGGAGCAAGCATCAGCTTCCGCTGGTCCGCGCGGATGTCTTAGATTTGCGCCGGGACCCCCTGGCGGCGCCTCCCGTGCCGCCCCTGGCGCGCTCCGCGCACCAGGGAGGCGTCCAGCGCGGATCCAAGGAGACACGCAGTTTTTGTTTCTCCTCGAGGTATGCAAAATAATGGGAATCCTAAGAGTGTGCTTGTGGTCCGTGTCTCCCAGGGCCCCTGCCCTGTAGCCCGAACGCGTTGCCCCTCCCGTGGTGCGCACCGCCCGCCGCCACAGCTCGTCGGGGAAGCCGCCAACACCATACACACACATTCACACCGGCCCAGGGGCCCAGAGTTGACTCGGTCAGAAAGGGCCAATGGGGGAAACGAGTCCTGGAACTTTTCACCAGTTTCTGGCTTTCGGGGCCCTCCATGGACCCTGGGGTTGTCAGAAAGCAGTTCAGGATGACCCGTTTCCCTGAGGACCTATGTCCCTCACGCTAGGGAGAGAGGGGTATGGGGAAAGGGGGGAGGCTTCTTAGAAGCACCCCTGTTTCTCAGAAGGTACGGGCCTTCCCTGTAGAGGCAGGGCCTGCGCCTTCTGAGGAGCGGCCTCCTTCTGAGAAGCCTGCCCCCTGTTCCCTGCCCCTCGGGGCGCGCCGCCCAAGGTGTGGGCGTGGCCCCGCACGTAAGACCGGGGCTGAAGTCGGAGGGATATCCCCACACAGTAACAACAAATAGTCTTAAGTCGGGCCTGTCCCTCTACAGAGGGGGAATATTCAAGAATAGTCAAAAAATAGTCTGGGGACTATTGTTTGACCATTTTTGAGAATTGTTGGGGTATTGTTGGGGTACTCATTATTCTTCGTCCAAAATGCCCCTGTAGGGGGACATGCCCGACCTAAAATAGTCAGCTGGCGATGTTTCGTATTTTTGACAACTGCTTACTCCTCTTCCGAAGTCCGCCTGCGGGAGGGGTGTCCGCCGTGAAGGAGAGGGAAGTCCGGAGGTCGGGTGTAGCCAGGGCCTCAGGTAAGGGGACCCGGTGAGTAGTGGGGCCCCAGAGCCTAAATTGGCCAGAATCACTAAACCAGGTCTGCCGTAGCTGGTGCTTTTCGGGTGACGGCGATTCCGGTTAGTGGAATGGGACGGGGTGGGGGGGCGTCCCCGGTACAGATCACTAAACCAGGTCCCACTACACCGAGAGTTCTGCCAACGCCCGAAGAGGGCAGAGGTTCCGGAGGTCTTCGTTGGCCCGCTGCTTCGGCACGGGCGGTGCAGCGCTGCACAGTGCACCACCAGCCCTCACCCCTCCCGGTTGGGGCTGTGGGTCTGCCTCCCCGTCGCTGTCCGCTTGGCTCGTGATTCGCCGAGCGCGTTCCACGACTCGCAAAGTGCCTACTCGCGCAAACGTCCGAAAAGCACATGTCTGCGTCGATGTATTCTATCGTAGATCCCCCGCGGAGGATCCAGGCCATTTGCGAGTAGTTAGTTTGCGAGTAGTGGAACGCGCTCGTCTAGTGATGCGGACGGAACGCGCGCGAGCTAATTCCACATTGATGCTGTCTTTGCTAAAGGAACCAAGGTCTTGCTGTTTGGGGCTGGAAGGCCGCTCCTGGGCTGAGAGCCCCGGGTCTCGCGGACCCGTTCCCCGGCCGGCCTCCTCGGCTCCGCCCTTCAGAGATCCCTTCGGGGCGCCCAGGCGACTGCCCGCATGAGCGTTCCGTTCCGTTCCCTCCTTCCGTGCTGGAAGGCGAGGTCGGCCTGTCGCCGTCAAGCCCGCCTTTATCGATGTTAGCCGAGCGCTCTGTTTATCTCTCTTTCTCTCTCTCGCGCTGCCTCCCCACATGTCCATCAATGATTTACGGTGTTCCTCTTGGTGTGGGTGTGTGTCCACCCATGCAAGTGATCTGAACCGCGTGTCCCGTGGTGCGTGGGGTGGATTCCACAGTCATCCTTCGATCCATTATTTATACATAGTTATGTGCATACCAAGCAAAATCCGATTAAGCTCAACACGAATACAACCAACAGCTAAGAGTATTTCAACTGAGCGGTAACATTGAAACCCCAATGCTAATTTGTCGGTGGCGTGGCTATGCCGAGTGATGCGGATCAGGCGAGAGCATACGGATGCAGCCCGTCGTGTCCGTTGAAGTTCATGCTAGCGTCTGCATTGTGATGCACTGCGGTGTCTTGGGATGGCCTGGTGTCCGAGTCAGGAGATCCAGCCATCGACAAGCGGGAGTGCCTGAGGATGTTCGACGTCGCGCTCAAAGAAGTGTGCGACGAGGGCTTCTACGGTGGGCTTCCTGTGAACTCGTCGGTGGTCGGAGGAACGAAAACCCAGCGCCGCCGGCAGGGCCACCCCAGCATGGAGGTCCACGAAGCTTCATCGAGCGGGACGTCGAAGACGAGCCGACCAGGACGCCAAAGACACCGCGACACCACACCACCACGAGGACCCTCAGTCCCCTTCTCCTTGACGATGGTGCTGTTCCCCACCCGATAGGTCGGAGTTGTGAGATTCGAAGTCAGGAGTTCCCGACCCGCCTGGCACACCCTGCCTGCCGCGGCCGCCAGACCCAATATATTTGCGCATGCGGCCTCGCGTCTTCGGCGAATGACAACCGCACACCTGCGGCCGCCAGCCACCCAAGAGGGGCCCGCTGCTCCATTGGGATCCCGCCTCGCGTTTTCTCGGATGGGGATCGCCCGAGGCAGCCATAATTGGTGTCGGCTTCCTCCTCGTCCCAAAGGTTCTAGGCCTCCTAGATGGGGTCGGAGTAGATGGGGTCGGAGGATCGCTCCGCATCGCCAATGCATCGCCGATGCGGCTCGATGTGCAGCCCGCTTTGCTTCACGTCAGCGTCGCCGATGCATCGCCGATGCATCGCCGACGTATCGCCGATGTATTGGCAATGCGGCGCGATCCTCCGACCCCATCTACTCCGACCCCACCTAGGAGGCCTCTAAAGGTGGTGTCTGGCAAGATGCGGAGAACGTTCCAGGAGTTCGACCAGCGGAACACGCCCTTCGAGCGCTTCACCGACCTGCTGGAGGAAGCGGCGCGGGACGGGCTGGTCAAGTTCACCCGCCGCAGGTCGGGCCTGCCACACAACCACACCGACAAGTGGGGGTTCGTCCCCTTCCCCTTCGTTCCCTCCCTCTTTCATCAAGCAGGTCTGACGTGACACTTGGAATTCGAATGATAAATATACGCGCAGGAGCATTAACTTTCCGAAGTCCGCACGGATTTCTTTGATAGGCGCCGGGCCCCCCCCAATGGCGCTTCTGGCGCTGCCCCTGGGCTGGCACGCTCCGCGCGCCAGGGAGGGGGGTCCAGCGCGATCCACGAAGTCCGCGTGGACGTAAGAATTTGTAATGCCGATGCCAACGTTTTCTCCTCTCGAGATTACCATCGGATCTGTTGTCGCTTTCGATTTTTGACTTTGAGATTCTGGGCCTCCCCAAAGGGGTCCGAGTAGATGGAGTCAGAGGGTCGCGCCGCTTTGCCGCCGATGCATCGCCGATGCGGCTCGACGCGGAGCCAGATTTTCTCCACGCCGATGGCGGCGATGCATCGCCAACGTCTTCGATGCATCGGCGATGGCGGCGCAGCCCTCCGACCCCAGCTACTCTCAGCCGGGGATGTCCCTCCACAGGAGGAAGATCCAAGAATAATTTAGCAATCATTGTAATATTCATACTGGTAATAATGAGAGTGATAGCACGAATAGTAGTACTAATAATAATAATAGTAGCACTAGTAACCGTACACAATAATAAGAAGAAGAGTGTGGGGGCGATCTTCCGTGCTCTGTTAACGAGGTTCGATTCACTTTTGCTTGTCCTTCAATTGACCTTCCAAGATCCGACTGTCGGAGGACACGCCCGGCCCTCACCTGCTCGGGCCCCCTTCGGGACGCCTCGAGAGATCTGGCCCGGACAGCGCGCCGGTCCCTCCGCCCCCCTTCCGCCGTCCTACTTGGGCGTCGGGGGACGGCGACCGCCCGCCCCGCCTGTCCCGCCGCGAGCCGACCACGGGGCCCGCGGGCGGGGCGGTCGCCACCCAGGACGGCGCGGGGCGTGTCGGATCCCGCGTGCCCAGATCTCCGGCGATGTGACTTGGGCACTCCGGGCGTCTCTCCTAGACGTCGGCCTGGGCCAGGAGCGTTTGGAAAGGCTTTCCGAGCGTGCCGGAATGCTCTGGGATGGCCGCGGCGCCCCGTACATCCTCCAGAGCCGACAGGTCTCAGAGATGCTCGATGTATCCTCACCCGATGTTATGCTCCTCCTGGCTTCATCTCCGTCTGGGTGCCTGTCCGGTGGTTGGGATATCCAGGATTGGCCTGGACATGCTGGGCGATCACTGATCCCCCCCGAGGGGGAAGGACGTCCACCATGCCTTGACGTCGTCGTGAGCAAGGAGGGGACGCGGCAATAGCTCCTGACACCACCTCTTCCCGACCGATCCGTGAGGGCCCGCGGGCCCGAGGTTGGTCCGCATGTTCCCGCCGTGGTCTTCAGGGGAGGTAAACAATACTCTGCAGCGCCGTTCGCGGGGGCAGGAACCAATTTGATCATAGTTCTGGGCGGGTGGTTGGGCTGGCTGGGCTGGCTGGGCTGGCCGCTGTGCTGGCTAGGGGTGGGGCAATCGGTTTCGATCAGTGGCTCGCCACTGTGGGCAAACCGTCAACGCGGGACTGTCGAAGGGGGGAGGCCCGGTTTTCCCGAGCCAAAGCGTCGTCGGGGAGACACACGGTGACGGGCTCCCGATGGCGCCGTGCCATCGAGGCCTCTCTCTCCCATGTCTGGCCACGACTCCTGTCAGTATCGTTTATCTGATCCCCATCCCCTTCCCCTTCGGGACACCCGCCAAATTGCCACCCCAGTTGGGGACACGCCCATCGAAGCCCGAAGGGAACGACCCATGTCCCCATCTTGTGGGGCAGATCGGCCAGTGGGGCCAGCGGCCACGCCGCTGGGAATCGGGTTCGGTTAAACGATACTCATCCTGGCTTGTCGAGGCCCCCAACTGCAGTCTGCGGCTGCCCCCCCGCAGGGACAACATCCTGATCACCTGGGCCGCGCACTCAGCAGCGCCGCGCGCGCGCGAGCTCCGCGAGGAGGTCGCGCGCGACGGGGCCCGCGGCCGCGACCGAGAGCAAGCCGGCGGGTCGGGCGAGGGGCGCGGCCTCTGACGGGCCTGCTTTCCACCACCACCACCACAAGTTGGAGGGGGAGGGGGTCCTCTCTCCTCCTCCCCTCCTCCTCCTCCTCCTCCTCCTCCTCCTCTCCTCCTCCTCCTCCTCCTCCTCCTCCACCTCTTTCCCCCTCCTCCTCCTCCTCCTCCTCCTCCTCCCTCCCTCCTCCTCCTGCTCCCTCCTCCTCCTCCTCTCCTCCTCCTCCTCCACCTCGTTCCCCCCTCCCTCCTCCTCCCTCCTCTCCTCCTCCTCCTCCTCCTCCTCCTCCTCCTCCACCTCTTTCCCCCCTCCTCCTCCTCTCCTCCGCCTCCTCCTCCTCTCCCTCCTCCTCCTCCTCCTCCTCCTCCTCCCCTCCTCCTCCTCCTCTCCACCTCGTTCCCCCCTCCTACTCTCTCCTCCTCCTCCTCCTCCTCCTTCTCCTCCTCCTCCTCCTCCTCCTCCTCCTCCTCCTCCTCCTCCTCCTCTCCTCGTTCCCCCCTCCAACTCATGGTGGTGGTGGAGGTGGAAAACAGGCCCATCAGTTTCCAGTTGGAAGGCAGGGAGCGTCTGAAAAAGGCCCCGAGGCTTCCGCGGAGGCCGCTGGGGAGGCCGCCGGGCTTCTGAGGAGCCCCCTTAAGGGTGCAGGGGCGCTGCGGCGCTGCCGTGAGGGTGCAGCTCCTGGGGGGTTCGATCTCCTCGGCGTCAGTCCGTCCTGATAGGATATTTTCCGGCTCAGTCTGTCCTGATCCGGTCCCGAGCAGGCGTGTTCTGAAGTTCACATCTGGCACAATCCGACCCTGTGCATGGCCCTATTTCAATCCAGCCCTCCGGGGGGCGCGGGCCCCTTGGACCCAGATTGACAGGAAAGGTTGGGGCACGCCTTGGGCCAGGACCACATCCGGCAGCATCCAGCCTCGAAGCTACGCGCCACTGGCACCCAGAATTCCGACGTCCGAATTTTGGCATCACGCGGACCTCCAGAGGTCTGACTTTCTCAGGACTGGCGTTTCATCCCGAGTGGTTGTTTGACGTTCCCGGGGCCGGCGATGGCCCCTCGAGGCAGCAATGGCCCAAAAGTTTTGCTCGCAACGAGAGGCCGGTCGAATCGTCCGGGGGGCGGGATCCCTGCGGGTGGATTCTCATCCCGGGTCCGTTTCTCACGCTCCTGGGGCCCGAGACGGGCCTGTCCTTCTACGGGAGGAATATGCAAAAATAGTAAGAAATAATCGGGGGACCTTTGTTTTGCTGGAAAAAACATTTTTGAGCATTCGGGTGGCATTTGTTTGTATTTGTTATTTGTCGCCCAAAATCCCTCTGTAGGGGGACGATTCTCATGCCAGGTCCGTTTCTTACGCTCCTGGGGCCCGAAACGGCCCCCAGGGGCCAGAAACGACAGATAGCCGAGGGCGACGAGCACAAACGAGTCGACGGTTCAAGTGACGCAGCGCTCTTCCGGGGCAGTGTCGTGTGGCGCCGCCGGCATCCGGCCTGCGCCCGAGGTCAAGTACCCCTACAGGACGCTCGCCCAGCGCTCCCCCCGGCGGCGGACCCCGCCGCGGGGTCGCGACGCTGGGCGACGCGACGGGCGCGGCAGGTCCCGCGCGCGCCTGTGCCAGCCCCCGCGGCGGGCCCCTCGGCGGCTTCGTCGGCGGCGACCGGCGGCGATGAGCGCTCCTTTCGATGAGGGGCACAGCACCCAGTGTTGTTCAGGTGTTCTCTCGCAGGCCTAGAGGTTGACACCAGCACCAAATTCGGCGGTGTGCCTCCACCGAGGGAGGAAGATCCCGATCTCGGTGATGGTTGTAATACTCTGGCTTCCAAGGTGGCCGAAACATTACCACCAACGCCGAAATCTAGGATCATCTTCCCCCTATGGAGGCACCCCCCTGTGTTGGTGTTGGTGGCCATTTCCAGGCCTCCAATTTTCTTCGGTGTGTTTGTGTGTTTCGTGTCAGGTGCTTCTTTTCGACGGTTCGTCTCCGTCCACTCCCCCCTCACTTAATGAAGCAGGGCTCACAGAGCAAATTGAAAGGTTTGCCGAACAAAAAAAATCGCACAATTGAAGCATCGGCGTCAGCTCGGATTCCTCTGATCGGCGCTGGAGCCCCCTGGCGGCGGCGGCGCCGCCGCCGCCGCCCCCTGGAGGGGCATCCGATGCCGATCCATGAATTCCGCACGGACCTCCGAACGGTACATCTATGTCAGGTGTTGTTCCTCTGTTCTGTCGGAGGTTGACAGGCCTCCTACCCTGACACGTCGATTAGCGAATCGGCCGTTTTCGGTTCGCGCGAGGGCGTCGCGGCCGCCACTTTTGCGGGTCCAGGTCCGTCGGTTTCGGTCCTGGGCCGTTTTCACTACATGGAGGTTTTTTAGAGGGAGGTTCGTCCATTGCTGATTTTGCGAATCCCGAGTGGTCTGGAGTCTTCACTGGCCCCATACCGCGTATTCTCGCCTCGGGCTGCCTGCTTTTTCCAGCAGCCGCGCCTCGCCGAGAGCGTTCTTGGGGGTGCCAGCGGACGGCCGGCGGAGTTCCGACCTGAGGCCCGGCAATCTGTCGGCAGCCTCTTCGGCAGCCCTCGGCTCGGCCTTGGGGTCAAGCAGTGGCGAAGCGTCCCGGCGTGCCTGTGGTCCTACCAATCAATGGTCTGATAACCTTTTGTGTTCCTACGAAATGTTCTTACAACATGTCTGGTTGGGACTGTCTTGTTTTATCACATCGGGTTTCTGCTCTAAGAACATTGTTTTTGTTCTTAGAGCTTTTTGGGGTTCCAAGAAGATATCGTGGTAGGACTATAGGAATGCCGGGACGGTCGGTTCCTACTCAATGGTGGGGGGGTGCGGACATGTCGCGCGCGCGCGTGCGATGCGTGGCCCTCTGCCAGTCGGCGAGCGAACTCTGGACGACTCGCAGAAACACAAACATGCAGGGACGATGATGCTCGTTGAAGAGAACGCACTGCGTAGACACACGTAACATTTCGGAGCTCCGCGCGGATTCCCCCGAGCGG